GTGAAAAAAATACGTGTTAACACAAATATGTATATATTAAAAAAAAAAACAAATAAAAAACACACCGGTATTCGTTAATTCGACTTACAAAATAAATCAAACGCTGCGATAGCGTTGGCTCGAGTATTATTTTTTTAAACACGATTTTTTCTTTCCAAATCATTATTGAAAATCAATACAACTTAAGTATATCCTAATAATATATTGGCAAACAAAACTTACAATGATATAATATAATATACTATATATATATACGCTATCGATAATGATATCAAAAATCGAAGCGATATACCATATATCATAGTACCATACGCACGCACGCCGACATGCGCGCCAAATGTATTATGAAACGAAAACTTTACACCTTGGCAGCGTTTATGCGTTTCGACATAGGTCTGTTTACATATTTCGCGAATTTGTAAAAATGGAGAGAAAAATCCGTTGCGAAACAAAATAATAATACAAAATATTATTTACATCTATTATACAATACCTACAGTCGCGGTACGACTATGTATATTATACTTATACATGCTGGTAAAACTATCGTTCGGATCCAGATCATGCGACGACGATCGGATTGCACAATATTGTATTCGCACTACTATTCTTTGTTGGTTTATTACATTTTTTTTTTACTTTCTATCATATCTCTGCGTTTTTACTTAATCCCACGGGTACGCAGACCGTGACGCACTGGTCGAATAAAATGTTTACAAAAACCACACAAGAGAAAAACCAACAAAAACGGAAAAGAAACAGATTCGGCTGCAGCGAAAAGGTATACACCTACCGCAATTGTAAAATGTATAATACTGTAATTCGATCATCAAAAAAAACCAATAACAATCCGAATTAAAACAATTTTGCAAAAATATAAATATAATGTACTAGCGTGGGTACAATATATTATTATTATAATTTAAACGGGGTACCTATGCCTGATTACATAATAATTATCTTTTCGGTTAATTACTAAGTACCAGTTTACATACTTAATGACTTATAGTAAAACAATATAACATTTAAGTTAATAGGTACTACATTAAAGATAACATAACATATAAAATATAATAATCATAAAATATTTATAACATTGTTAAGATATACATTAAAAGAGACTATATTATTATTATAACAACAAACAATACAATAGTGTATTTTTTAACAATATTGTTATATATACATGTATATGTACGTATTAAGTGTAGGTACTCAAAAAAAAAACAACTCGTATACACGAGCGTATACCCGGGAGAAGTCATTAAGTCGCGAACGCGGGTGGTGAAAATCCGAAGGGGGAGAGAGAGAGAGAAAGAAAAAAACGTTTTCCTCGTTGTTTCTGGCACTGAATAGATAACGGATGCCCATTAATCACGACGAAAAAATATCACAGATTTCACTGCGTACAAAATATCTCCGGCGGCTGTGGCCGCCGCATACATAGATATTTTCTGTTAATATTTATTTTACCCACATGTTCTTTTTTAGTGTATAATACCTACCGGTTGAGAAAAATATATATACAAAAGTAAAATAAAATAAAACGATTTCTTTTTATTTCATTCCCCTACTAAATCCCGCGTGCAATGTATATACTGCATATATATATATATTATGTACACGGAGGAGTCGTGCCCACACCTCTATAAGCGTTTCGGTTTATGCTTCGTCATGACCTCATATATGTCTTTAAGACACGTTTCGTACAATTCAAATACCATTATCGTGTCTTTTCATCATCATTTTTAAATTTTCTGTAAAAGGACGTAAAAAAAAAACATAGTGTTTAACCCGTGAAATCCGTATATATATAAAGTGGTAAAAATGGTATTTTTTCATTTTTTTTTTTTTTTTTTGTTAAACCATCCCTTTATAACGCGGATCCGATGAATTATGAGACAGAATATGTATTTTTTATGTGTGCGCGTGTGTGTGTATCGCAGGTGACACCGATACTAAATGGATTTGTGCCCGAGGTAATTTTCTGTACACCCACGGGAAAAATGATACGCGAGAAATTCGGTACGCGTGTGTTAGTGTGTATCGTGTACATAGGGGCGAAGACGGGCGGACAGTAACGGCTACAAAAAAAACGCACAATATTCCCGTACATAATAATATAATAAATAAAGCGAGTTAAAAAGAAAACCATCCGACGGAAGCTAGCTGCACGCATGCACACATATAGATATATGGATATAAACTTATATATAGTACAACTAATAACTATTATATAAGTATATTTATTTTTTTTCTGCAGAACTTCGGCCTATATTATACAATATCGACTATAATATTATAATACAAATGTCAAGTGTACTATGGTATAGGTATAATATGGAGCTTGTATGGATATAGCTTTTAACTCGTGCTGTATAACTTTATACTACTATCATATTATATTCGTATATTTACATGGTCATCGCGACGATTGCAGTTCGCCCCAGTAATTTGCAAACTATAGTGTATGCGAGTATACGACCCTGGCCGCCGAATGTGATGGACGACTAATACCCACCCGGAATTTTCACGAAAACTGTTTGTTTTTGTTGTTTCCTTGTGGAAAAAAATATTACCGAAGTACCGACAGACTAAACCGATTTGTATTATTGAATCCGGCTTGTGTACGTATAATACTATATATATAAGTGGAAAGACGAATTCGCTGGATAATCAATTTTAAAGTCGAAGAGGGACGTGAGACGAGTACTGGGGGCTGGGAGGGAGAGAAATGTTCAGAAGTCGAGAAGAGTGGATAGGAGTAAAAAATAAATAAATAAAAAGAAGAAGAAAGAATTTCCAATAATATCAACAATAATCGGTTACCATGGTGATTGCGTTTTTGTGAAACGTCTACGAGGCCTGTGCGTTTAAACTTTTTTATTATTATTATTTTGTTCCAGTCAGTTGTACAATAGGTACTCGAACAATGGCTAAAAAGTTTAAAGTTCGATAATGTAAAAAAAAATACCTGGTTTACTCGGAGATCAATAGTTTTCATTAGAACAATAAAACTATGTTCATTATAACATTCTTTCTCCGTTTCTTTCTTTCTTTTTTTTTTTAATTTGCGTTGTGTCGTCTCGCGACCAGATACGAGAGAGACGACCCAAACATGCGTATTTAAACCGAATCTGATAAGTTTTCAATTTCGTGCACAATATGGGCTATTGGTAAAATAAAAGGGGAAAACGGCTATATATCGAGCCTGAATAGGTGCTTGGCGGTAGTCGTAAGGGATGGATTGTGGGGGTAGGGCGATTGTGAACTTTCAATCGAAGACGTTGCGACACCCCGATGATAACGAAATATTTCGTTGGCCGAAGGGTATTTTTTTTTTTATAAATTTCAATTCTTCGCATTAATACTGAGTGACGCGCAGAGCATGAGTTTGCTAGAAAAATATTTTATCTCGATATATTGGTCCCGAAATTCTCGAACAATCATAATATAATACAGAATATATAGGTACTGAGGTCGGATTTTGTCTTACAGCCTATGTCGGTGTTTGATTTTTATAATATTTATTATTTTGGGGTTTTCCCCTAAAAAATACTTATATTATAGTAAAGAAAAAAAAAGTGGGTAGGTATTATAGTGGTATACAGTATAATACATTATACAATCTTGAATATACATAATATAAATGTGTACACCTACATTACGTACAAATAGTATTTATGATTATTGCCTTTTTTGTTTATTTATTTGTTTAATTTTTTTCTTCTTAACTCGTAAACCATTATCCGTGTCAAGGGCGGTGTGAAGCATAAGACGCGATAGTACCTATACGAGTGTGTATACAACGAATGACTTGCAACTGCCAAGCACAATAACGCTTTTATATTATTATTATTATTATTATTATTAGGCACGTTTAGTCTCAGGGTTTGGTCTAGTTGAGTGCGTGTGTTTTGTCCCACGTGATTTCCTTGACGTTACTCGATACGATCGCGCAATGACAAACCGGGAAAATCAAATACAAAAATATTATAATACACGCTTGTCTTAATAATGATTGTTATCACGTAGATACCTGTTTCGTATCGTGGTAATTAGAAAACTATTTCGAGTGTACGACTTTTATAAATTTAAAATATGAAACAACATTGTTATTACGTCGACTGCCGTAAAAGCTTCCGTGGTCGTCGTTTATTGGATTTATGGAAATTAATTTGGTTGCTGGGAATCGGAACGAAGTTACAAAAAAAAAAACGTCACGTATATTAAATGTAGGTAACGAAAAAGAATAAAATAATAATCTTACGAAACCGACAGTGTAAACTCCTTAAAAAAATATAACATAATATAATACAATGTAGCGCGATTCCCTTTTTGATAAATTTCCCTTTTTAAACATCACATGTTTCATTGTATTCGCGGTATTTTTTTCACAAAAAGACGGTGACCTTTTTTTCTTTTTTTGTCGAAAGGGTTGGTCTCACTCGGGAAGGATTTATTATTTCGTTTCCACGCGCACCTGGACCACTGCAAGTCTACGTAATTATGGGAAAACAGTCCGGCGCGTCTCTCCCGGTTGCGTGTGTCACCCCTTTCGCCCAGCATCGGGTTACGCGTCTGCCACCTTATATTTTTTTTCCACAAAAAACCATTCTGCAACTTTATATTATGTACTGTTATTATATATTTTCGTATTACATACGTACAAAGAAAGGTTTTTTTCGGGGTAAAATGAGGTGACACGGACAGCTCGGGTTACCGGGAACACAATGATTTAACCCTATCCGGTGGCTTCTCGTATTGTCGTTATTGTTTTGTTTTCGCAATATACGGATTCTTTATGGAGGATTTGAAAAATTCGCTCATTTTTCTCATGGCCTCGCTGAGAACCGAACGGGTAACTCGACACCCGGCCTAAGATGACTTATAAGTCGCGTGTGTTAATGCATTAACAATATAATATAATATGTAATATACTCGTACACATTACATCGTGTTATAAATATATAAATTTAACTTTACTTTATTTTCCGCAGATAACGGAATATCAAAACGGTCTTTGAGTCCATTGGCGCTGACGACAACCAGATCTGAATCTCAGTCAACCGGAGTTTCCTCGATCGCTTCGGCCCTCAATAACGTCACAATGGTGTTACAAGGGGCTTCGTCCACCGTTGGCGGTGGTAGTGGAGGTAGCGGGTGCTCAACGCCGACCAGTGGCGATTACTCGCGTTATGTGAGGAGATTCAGTAGCTGTCAGGAATGTGGATCAGCCCGGTGCAGAGATTTGAACTACAGGTACTGCGGAAGACTTCATTTAGAGCGACTCGCCTGAAGTGCTGTGCAAAGGACAGTGTAATATTATTGTTATTCGTTTTGTTCTCGCAGAGAGCACTTCCATTGTCTTGACTGCAATTCGAGAGTCTTCGTCAAGAAAGAAGAAATGATCAGACACTTCAAGTGGCACAAAAAGAGGGATGAGAGCTTGCAACACGGCTTCATGAGATACTCGCCTAGTGACGACTGTTCGGACAGATATCAGGGATGCAGTCACAACCGCAAGCAAACACATTATCATTGCATTCAAGTGAGTAGTACCTATACTAACTTTAAAGTGTAATATTAATACGTCCATAATTTACATTATCTTAATTATTTTTCGCAGGGCACATGTGATAAAGTATATATAAGCACGTCTGACGTGCAGATGCATGCAAACTATCACAGAAAGGATTCAGCCATAATACAAGAAGGATTTCAAAGACTTAGAGCCACGGAAGAATGTCGGACACCATACTGTGCGTTCTACGGTCAGAGAACTACTCATTTTCACTGCAGACGTGATCACTGTCAGTTTACGTTCAAAAACAAAGCTGACATGGGTGAGTCTCATTAGATTAAATTTTCTAAAATTCATATTATATTCGTGTAACTCGTAAACGATCAAGTTGGTCATCGTTTTCGTACTTAAAGAGCAAGGTGCAGCCCATCTAATTTTATAAAAGTCTACTGACCTGATCGTTAGGGATCTTTAGAATTATCCGGTCCAACAGTATCAAAATTATCAAAAAAGTTAAATTTATTATGAATAATTTAATATTTCTCTTAGCCGCATTATAACCACTATATTTTGATTTTTAATATTTTCAACTGTTAGTAGGTACTTCCATATAACAAAATTTTCTGTTTGACGAAATATTTTTATGAACCAAACCTAATTAAAACCAATTTTATTTAATTCTATTTAACGAAATTCTCTATAACACAAATTTTATTTGTTGCTCATCAGATATCGTAATATGGAAGTTTCACTGTATTACATTATGGTATATAGAATTATACAGATTTCTAATATCGTATACATATTGTATAATAATAATTATAATATTAATATAACATCTACCAATATGGGTTAAAAATACAAAACTCGTTACTCAGCCAGTTCACTGACAGGTACATGGAGATTTGTGGAACCTAACCTATATATATATATATTATTGTAAAAGGAAAAAATCGTATTATTATTTATTAATTGTATATGAAAGGCTGGCCAATATGTCCCCCCACGCTCAACGACGCCACTGTTTGATCGCGTGTCTTACATAATACATGACGCATGTTGGTATTTTTCCAGAAAAACATAAAACATATCACATTAAGGACGAACAATTAGCGAGAGACGGGTTCAAGAAGTTCATGAAACCGGACCCGTGTGGTTTTTCCAACTGCCGGTTCTCGCAGGTGTGTAATCACATCCACTGTGTGCGGGACGGGTGCAACTACGTTCTGCACTCCAGTGGGCAGCTACTGAGCCACAAGCGAAAGCACGAGCGCAAAGACAGCGAAATTGCGTACCGAAAGTTCAAACTGGCCCAACAGGCCGTGATGAACATGGCTGGAAGTGGCGGTGGTGGTGTCGTGGGTGGCGTCGTAGTCAGTGGCGGCGTTGGCGCCGGCAACCCACCGGACCAGGTTAGCGATGACGAATGGGTGCCATGGGACGGGCGACGAGTGGCTCACGGTGCGACGGCCGCGGCAGATTCGCAAATGAACGAGCTGTCGATATCACCCAGCAGTTCACTGCAGTTCCTCCACCAGCAGGCCAACTCATTGGCCTCTCTGTCAGCGCTTGCCGCTCAGGCCGGCGACGCGGCCAGCTACAGCAACAGCTCGAGTGACGGAGGCGGCGGTCCCATGTCACCACTGTCCTCTACGCCACGTGCCCCGTCCAAGATGATCGGTGGTCACGGGTTCTTCACAGACAACTCGTCCACCGGTGGTGCGGACGGTGGGTCGCCCGAAGATGTGGAGATGTGGCCAAGATACCTGACCCGGTTCAAACCAAACACGTGCACCGGTGGATCTGGTTGTGCTATGTCCGATACCGACCATTTCCACTGCAAAGAGCCCAACTGCGAATCCCCCGTCAAGTACGTTAATATAGTGTAGGCAATAATCCAGAAATATAAAGGATACTTTGAAAATATTTTTAAAATACAATGAATATACCTAGTACAAAATATAACAATTTTTAAGTACAAATACCTTTTTTTTTTTTCAAATTTACTTATATTGAATCGTATTATGTATTTGTGTGCAGTTTAAATTTGAAATCACAATTCACAAAATTACTACAGAAAACGAAATAATATGATAAAAAAATTTATGTATTCAATATCAACAAAGTTTTTCAATACTTTTAGTTTAATGCTGCAACGATAGTTTTTTCGTATGATTAGATTATAATTTATAGGTTGTGGTAGTGCACAGCTGGCCGCTGGGACTGTTTTGACACGAGATGAATTTTGACTCCTGTGTTGCCTGAAGTGTTTAATATACAATGATTTTATAATCTAAACATCCGTGATTGATATCGTTTTCAGGACTCAAGATGAGGCCGAAACGCACGCTCGTAACCACGACAACCAGGAACGGATCAACGAGAGTTTTTACCCAGGCGGGCCGGCCTACTGTCAGGACACGTGCACCAAGGACCAACATTTCCATTGCGTTTTGGTAAGTACACAGTTATGGATAAAACGAGATGACTCACTCACTATACCCACAATACGCGACCGTAATACCTTATCAATAAAGTGGAAATAATGATAATAACACGGGGTGGGTACGTTTTGCAGGAAGGATGTTACGAGGCGGTATTGCCGTCGGAACGCGGCGAACACATCAAGAGCCACGATATCCCTTACGGCCAGTACAATTCGTTGGACGCTCTGTTCAGGAGGAAGCGAGGCCGACCGCCAAAGAACCGGGTGATCGAAGTATGGAATGACTATGCAGGTGGGTCCACCGGTGATTCTCCGCAGGCCATATTTACCAGTTTCAAATTGCCCAAGCCATCGCAGTCGTCGGGACAGTCGCAACAGTCGGAAGATGCGGAAGTACCCACCCAGACCACGCTGGTAAGACTCACCGTCACGTTAAAAAAAAATATGAAGATACGCGATATTTATATGCGTATCATATTATTGTAATGGCATTGTTGTGTCATATTGTGCTGCACCTATACACATTGTGGTTTTAATAGATAGGTTTTTTCATCCGATTTTCGATGCGAGGGTTGGGGTTGTATTTTGATAGTTTTTAGGGGTTGGGGCCCAGGTACGGATCCAGAGTAAAGATCTGGGGATGGGAGGGCACACATTTTTTCACAATACAATTACAATATAAACTTTAATTAAAATTTTTATTTCCAATATAGTAAGTACGTATAGTAATTATAGAATTATAAAAAAAATGGAGAAATAATATGTCTTGGGCCCCTAGCCTCCCCCCTATATTCATCCCGGTGTCGGGCAGGGCATCGCGTTACGGCGACGTTCTCAAGCGATTTTTATTCTATGGCATACATGAAAAAAACATTCCACGAGATGAGAATGTTCATAAGAAATACTAAGAATGTAATTGATATGTTTAAAAATGTACCTATGTTAAATTGATAATTATGCCCTTTTCGATTGAAATATCGAGTCTTGGCCATATAATGTTTCTGGTTTTTTTTTAATTTTTGTATCTACGTATCGTAACCACAACGGGTGAAAAAGAAATCGTCACTATTTTATATAACATACGTATGAATAAAACTTAATTATATTATATTTTTTTCAAACGTTTTGTTTTCCGAGATTTATAAAATATGCATTTACGTCTTTTTTCAGGAACAACACTGTTTCGAGGAATATCGATACGGTTGTCCAGACAATCTCTGCAAGTACACCAGCGAAGGCGTCGCGTTGCACTATCACTGCCGCCGACCCCGATGCTTTTTCGCCACAGACAATGACGAAGAGTTACAAGCCCATTCCACGCATTTCCATGACAACGTCACCATCATGGAAGGATTTTTGTTTTTCGACCGATCGGTCGATTGCCGGCTGGAGACGTGCGCAAAGTGAGTGCAATTATAACATAATTATTATATTATATAACGACGGAAAAAATAAATAATTAGCCCGAACCCCTGCAGTCAATATTATTATACCCAGTGATAATAATATATATAACATCGCTGTACGCCATAACCTACGCGGTTCGTTATATTTTTATTTCACGGTCCGTTTCAATATTTTTTCAGTAACACGATCAATAAGCATTTTCACTGCGTGCGAGCTGGATGCGGTTACTCGTTCACTAGATACACTCAGATGGCTCAACATTTATTACAACATCAGGCCACCTCTGGTTTGCAGATTTCTGAGAAATTAGGTAAGTCCGCACTAAACGTTCAATAATACTGTAATACACAATTTGTGTTAACCAGTTATTATTACGGAATAATAAAAACAGCGTGCCTATAACCATATAATAATATAACTCGCCCGTCGTTTGTCACAGAACCTCAAATCAAAGAAGAGATATTGTCTCCGGCGAGACCCCAAGCCACCCCTTCGCCGTCCGATTCAGCTACGAGCCAACGGTCGACAACGGGTATGTGTTTTATTTTTTATTCATTTCTGTTTTAAACGAATTATCTTAGCGTAGTATTTTTGTCTTGATTGTTTTTTTTTCTGTCTTGTTCAAAGTGGTGAAGGCTTCGGGCACTTTCTACCCTATGAGCGGCCTATCGAACGCTAAGAGTTCCTCTCCAAATTTTTCAGACCCTGCAACCCTGACAGGTGGGTCATGCAGAAATTATTGTTATAGTTATTATTATTTTTTTTTTTTTTTATATATATTTATATTATTTAGAAATTTATTGTGTACTATATACGATAAGTATATCATGTATATACTATATATATATATAAATATATAGTATATATTATACACACATATTATTATAATTTATTAGCTTCGCTTTTTTCGGTGGAAGTGATCGAACATTTTACACGTCTTATTATTATTGTCACACTATAATATTATATTATAATAAAGTCGGAAGACTGATTGTACACCATTCGATTCTTGTTATTAATTAGCTATAGACTATAGTACTGATTATTAATTATTACAGTATCGAATTAAATTGCCAATATAAATTTAACTACTCGAATAATTAATAAATATTAATGGAAATATTGTTTGTGCATTATTTAGAAAAACCGAAAACAGAGTCCAGTTTGAGTATCGAACCGGTCGTGACTATTCAAGTTTTACCAGAGTGGATGAGTTTAGAACGACATGAGAAATACGGACCTGAGCAACCCTGCAGCCGCGCTTTCTGCAAGCTCAAACGAAAAGAACATTATCACTGTAACGCGTGTAATCAGGTAAATACATATATAATATAACAATTAATAGTGGTATATTTTTTTTCATATACACTGTAGGACGTAGGTATATGTCGTTATAGTGCCTTTATACGCTACGACACGCGACGGCGAGGTCCTTAGACGAAAATATAGTTACAAACCGTTTATTTTGGTATTTTAACATCGTCGCCACACACCACTAATGGTGGAAATTTATCGGGACGCCGCATCCCAAACGAAAACTTCGGCATAACTTTGTACTTGTACTTGAGCGTGGGATTGTATGCCTGCGGGCTCGGCGATTGGCCATTCATCTCGTTGACTAACAGAGGGTTTTCAAATTTCTTCGACAGACTATATTGGGGCGCTTTCGTTTTGTATTTGTTTAAAGGCACAGTTTGATATACCAGGACCGGGTGATTTGATGTCTATGATTTCGTCGATTTTCTTGGCCAGCGTAATCTTTTTTCGTGACAGTGTTGACGGCAACTTGTAAACGTTGGACCCAGGGTTGTCAGCTCTCTTTAACAAACGTATATATGCACACAATAAGAAATCAACTTTATACATAAGTAGTAAATTATATATAATATACAGGCGAATAATATTATAATAATACACGATAGATCTTATAAATTAAAATATGAAATATGAATCAATTGTGTATTTTATAATATATGAGCATATTGGGCATATGAAAAGTTTAAACATTTTCCCTGTCACAATCGAAAAATGTATGTATTTATGAATTTCTTTTCATTTAGAAATCTGATTAATCTTCGTTTTGAAATTAAAAAAAGTATACTTTCATGCTAAATATTTGGGGATTTGTGATACACAAATCAGCGTTGACTCCACTCTAAAAAATGAATCATGATATAAGCTTATCATTAAAATAGAAGATATTTTTACAAAGTTAGTCAGATTGTGAGTTTCACACTATAGTTGACGTATAGTAGGTATATACCTAAAAACTATTTATTATCGAACTGGGTGTTCAAGACCTGCTATAACTCAAAAAGTACTGTTTTCAGGGGACCGATTTTAAAATTTGTTATAATAAAAAACCATAATATTTTATGTCATGGCAATATGACAACTCTTTAATGATCAATATTTGACCAATTTTTATTTCGTTCTTGAATTGAAATTGTTTTGAAAAAAGGAAATCAATAATGTTTGTACCTAGTTAACCAGATGTGTCCAGATGGCACACCTAGTAATTTAAAATTAAAATAATTATAATAATAGTATATTTTTGTCGTTACGGGATCCGGGTCGATTATCCGAAACAGCATCTTAGGTACCGGACCCTTGACCGGGACTCTAGGCTTGTACGCCGCTGGTCCCGAGATGTCCATATCGCCGTCGAAAGGCAGTTTCTTGGCAATGCTACGTGGCCAGCGGCTCGACCACGGTACGTCAGCTGCGCCAGATTGTACACTACCGGCCCTGGCCCCTCGGTCTCGTTGCCTAAGTCCAGTCGCTGATGCATCGAGCACGCTGGTGCACCGGTTACGGTTGGCAATCGGTTCAGGCGACCCACCGTCGTCCGGGCCCCGTATACTGCAGGTCCTGGGCCCTCATTCTCCGTCCCAAATTCGAACACTTGTGGTCCATGTATTCCGGACACTTTTTCATGATAACGTCGGTTTTAAAATAATTTCCGGAGAAAGTTATTCTGGTTAAAAAGGAGCGTATATTAAAATAATATAGTATAATAATATGCACCTATAAATATATTGTAAATTGTGTCGACGTGGAAACGAACATTTACGAAACCAATCGTTTTTTGTATATATATATATAGTTACTACGTATTATTATTTTGATATAATATTTCAACAACAGCGAGTAAAAAATTATTCGGCTGGAATTATTCTGTCTTTAAAATATAAACGGCAATACGGGGCACATTAAACGGTTTCAATTCTAATCAATTTAAGTGCGCGCACATTTCACACTATCAACTCCTTGCTGATTAAAATTGATGATGGCGTGAAAAAAAAAACACTCAATATTTGTAAAGAAACGGAGGGTATCCGGTTACGTGTCTTGAATTTCGCATCAACAACTTCGTTAACAATAACGAAAATAACAATCTCGTGAGAATTTCAAGCACATTAAAAAAAAAAATAAACTTTTTCTGCAAAAAAATTGTTTTTTAAGGAAATAAAAGAAGGGAAAAATAATTTTTTAAAAGAAACGAGTAGTAGTAATCGTGTATTAGTAGTAGTTTTAATCGATCGTGCGGAATCGCTTCCGAAAAGATGATTAATGATGCGACGACAAAAGGCGAATATTATGGAGAAAAAACGCACCCGGCTCGGTTTTATTATTATCATTATTATTTTTTACCCGCCGCGTGTAACGCCGCCGCCGCCCCGAGAAAATCGATAATCGATCAGCATCAATGTCATCGGTTTCCGCGGCGTTCACCCCTTTTCGCTTTTTCATTTCTTTCGATTTTCGTTCCGGCCACGTATATACGTACGAGTTGCGATAATTATTGTCGTCGAGTCCCCGGGAAATACGCGCAGGGTGCGCGTTTCGTTTTTATATAATATATATTAATTTTTTTCGTTGAACATATGCAATCGCGAATGACACGCGTAACGAAAGAGTTAAATGATTGACGACTCCGGGACAATTATGTACGCGGACCGCGTTCGTAGCCGTTTTATTTATTTATTTTTTCGCACCACTCGTTCCTTTTCCGGGTGTTAATTTTTTCGGAAACGGAAAAAAAACGATTAAAAAACTACGGGCGTATTTCCCCTTTGGCTCCCGCCGAATCGCGCTGCTAATGATTTCCGCCGCCGCCGTTTTCCCAGGGTTTTGTGTGTTGTCACGCATTGCGCGATTTCTAACGGCCGGCAACAAGTCGCTACCCCTACCGCCGCCGCCGTCACCATTGCCACCACGACATCACGTGTCGTATTCATACATACATAATAATATTATCTCGTTTGGAAAATGTTTACGTGATAAAAATAATTTTCATTGCTTCCGATTGTTTTTCAATTATTATACAATTGTTCGATTCCACTCACTCTCCCACAGTCTCACACCTGTATAATAAAATAATACAAATAATAATTATAATAGTAATAATGTGTATATGCTACGTGCAGTAAAACGTGGCTCAGTTTACTCACTTTAACGATATCCGAGCGAAAACCGGTCGATTTTAATACTCAGACTTACTATACGGCCCCTCCCGCGACGTTGGCTGCACTCCGCCCGCCACCCGGACGGTGTTCAATGTTCAATATTCTAATTTTCTTTAATCGCTATTTGCTAAATTTATTCATTTCGTATGCTTGCGTCACATTTAATATTATATGAGAGCAGACTACCTGCAGCGTTCAATAATAATAATATTAACGTGTTTCGGCCGAGTTTGTTGTCGTTAAATCTGTCAAGTCGTCTGCAGAAAAGTAAAAACCGTGTAATTGTCGTTGAAAAACCAAGACACTATCAGCAACTGGGTCGTTATAATTGCAACGCACAGTTATTCACAGCAGTATGTAAAATTCCAGTGCGCGTATTATTATCATTTATCACCTTTCTCTCTACTTCTGCTTCTACGCAAAATGATGTGGACCGTATGGGTCTTATAATATGCACATATTATGATATGATATTATTTATTGTTATTGCTCGTACGACGACGACTCGCTAGTTGCAAAAATAAATAAACTGACAAAAACTGAAAAAAACTTCTAGACAGATAATACCTACGTGATGTGTAAACGAAAAACGTGGTTAATGGTCGTTTTTTTTTTTTTTTTTTTTTTTTTATTGTCGATTTATCACTTTTAATTATTTACGTACATTCTACTTTTGTATTTGTTGCGATCGATAATTCCTAACAACGAAGACCTGTAGTACGCCCGATGCGTGCGTTTAATAAATAATAATTTTAATATAAAATCATATGCTGCGCATAAATGCAGACAATAAATATCATTACAACATGATATAGGTGTACCTCTACTATATAATTGCCGATGTGACCTTCAAATTTTTTTCGTTTTGTCTTTTTGTTTCGTTGTTCTTTTTTCGCACTGACATCGGTGCAATAATATCAATACTAATAACAACGTGTCCTGGGCTGCTGGGCGTGATGATATCGCTCACGATAATATTCACGTTTATCGTACTGTAATACGCCACGCAATCGTTTGTTTCCGCCGATCGGAGGATAAAGCACTTCAAAAAAATAATATATAATAAAATAAATTACGACCAATCGATACAAAGAAATTATTATATGCCATGATCGAGAGGGTCTTCTCTGCCCGCAGGTCATCGCCATGCGATGTTCGTATTATATTATATATAAATATATTATAGCATATTATAACGCAAGGTATATTTTTACTATCGATATTATTATTGCGGTTTTGTACCGAACGTAGAGCTTTAATCTTGGTATAAGAAATGCGGTTGACCGTACTAAAATAAAGCTTTTTTCGTTAATGATATCTGCACACTCGATAAAACTTTACGCATTTATACGAACTGGTTCGGACGAATTTCAGACATGAAAACATCTTATAATATTGGTGCATTAATCGAAGCCAATCCCTTTTTTTACCTACAGAAACCCTAGCTGCACTGAACTCTTTTATACCTATCTTATATATTTTTAATTATTATCTATTCGTTCATATTTCGTCGGTAGGTTAATGATGAAATATTAAATCTGACACTCGTTAGTCATAAGTAAAATACGGAAAAAGTTACAACAATCGAATTTGGTTATAGTTTCGAAGACGTTTACTTCGCTATTCGAGGAAATAATATTATCATGCATGTCGTTGGGAAAACAAAACACGTGGCGCAACCTGTTGGCGTACAAACAGTGAAATGCCCTGCATTACCGTACGCTTTGTTTCACTTGTATTGTATTTATAAATTCAGATCGGAGTTCGTTTACCCGCCAAACCTAACCACTCACCCGATGTAGCGGAAAAAATCAACTATAAGCATGTCGTTCACGCCCACGTTTACCCCGTTACGAGATTAAAAAAATATGCGTTTAAAATATATACGTTATATGGATAATAATAATAAATTATAAATTTTTTATGTATGATATACTATAAACCATATAGGTAGTAATCGTACAAATAGTATTAGCATTTAATGAATTGCCGCGATAACGAGCAAAATGGAAACGTGCGCGGCTGTAGACAACAAAAATGTTTAGTTTTTAAGCGTCTTCATCGTCCCGTCTTTAATTTACTCGTTATATTATATTATATTATATCCGTGATTGCCGATAATATATCATATACGAACGAGTCAGTCTGCGTGCAGCAGCATCAATGAATTACTATATATTATAATATCAATATTATTAACGTCATTAAAAAACGACTATCCATATTTCGTTTTTTCAAGGCTTTTTCGGAATTGGACAAGCTCAAGCCGCACATCATCAAGCACACGCCGGGCGCCTTACCGACGTTTATGCAAAAAACCGAGAACATCAATAACAACAACAACAACAACAACGACGATACCGAAGAGATCGCACAGCATCCACCCGGTGAGAAACGTTTTTACTAATAATTATATCACCCGAAAAATTATGCCGGTTGACCGAAAGTACATAAATATATCCTCTGATCGTAAATATTTCTAAACAACTTGAATTTAATTTGTATTTTAAAAGCTAAAACCGTTCTTTTTACCAATATTATAGTAAATAATAATAACTATAATATGCTCGCAGCACTGACAATGATGCCGATCTCGGGCGACAGCAACTCGGCCGCCGGTATGCCTCACTCGCCGTACACTAATATACCGGGATTCGGTGCAGCCATGGCAGCCGCTATGGCCAACCAACAGTTCGCGTCTCTGATGACTTCCCAAGGATTGCCTTTCATGCCACACGCCATCCAAGCCATGTACTCGTCTCCGACCAGTAAGTACCTACACACCAGTACAACACCACACAAACACAACATAGTTTTCTTCATTACAATAAATACGTAGGTATATGTTATATTATACTCATTTGACCGGCCAGTGTGATGATGGTTTTTTTTATATCGCACAGTAAATTCAGTAAATAAATGATACAACCCGAATAAGTGACTGTCAATTGCTGGTCCGAAAACCCTAAAAAAGCCCATGTCATATAAAACCCACCACCAAATATACAGAAGTAAAACGTTGTTATGCTATAGTCTCGAACGTCGCAAATACATGCATATTATTTAGTTTTAAACTCGTTTTAAACTCGTTTTATCATCGCTCGATATTGTTTTTGCTCAATCAACGAGCATGAAAAGTATCACACTGTTATGAATAACGAATATAACGTGCGTGTATACGTAATGGGCAAAAATGTAGACGCGACAAAATTATGGTCACGCGGCGTTTCGTATAGGCTATTCAAGTACATTAAACTGTCCCCAGTCGGTCTGGTTTACCTATATGTTGTACATATTATATGGTGTAAAGTTGTATACGTCATCAAAGTACGACACGATGTAAGTGAGTGAGATGAATTCGGTGTTATATACCCTATAATGAGTCTATGTATTATAATAGACTACATGGCCAAATGCGATATAATTGGCAAACTGCAAGAATTAACAGTACCTGTTTTATTAGTAATGGTTTTCATATATTTTTACGGTGGACAGTCAAAATTAGTATTTATAATAATTTAAAATCAGACCATCGCGACCTCACCCGACCAATATACATACTATCGATATCAACCTTCGACTCATATAAATTATAATTTGACCAATATATTATTAACACGTCGTTTTCCGGATTTTACAGGCCTGATGTTCGCTCCACCGCCCGGCTTCAACCACCACCAGACCATGTTGGCGGCGGCCGGCCACAACGGGCTGCTGAACCACCACCGGGGTGGCGAGGCGGCTGGCGGCAGCGACGGGACAGCCGCAGCGGCGCCACATCACCACGTCAACCGGCCAGTGTCGCCGTCACGTGACATGAGCCCGGAAATGAGAAAGGCACGAGTCCAGAACTCGATGCGCATCCTCAAGGACGAACCTGTTCCCGAGGGATACCTGCGGTTTCGATTCAACGAGGACTGTCATTACGCGCATTGTGGCTACAGGGAGCACCAGACGCACTTCCACTGTATGCGGCAGGACTGCGGTTACAGTTTCTGTGACAAGACCAGATTCGTGCAGCACACGGCCAGACATGAGAGGTACGTTACGATAACGTCATAATAATATAGACAGAGATTGTTTTACTGTGAACATGCCAGATATGTAGAGCCACGACGATGAAAATACTATGTCTTGGCATTGGTATATTATTAAATTATTATGGTTTTTTATGCCATATGCCCATATCCATATTATGTACTTATACCACAGAAAATTCGTCGACTATTACTATGTATAGTGACAATGAACACTCAAAGATGTTCATTTGATTTAGTCATTTAGATTTTGAATTTTTAAACATCGAATAAACATAATATCGTGGTATAAATATCATATATTATATGTAACCAATATTTTATTTCATCGCGATTTAAAAGTAAAATATTAAACTCCCTGCCCCCTGAATGATTCGAGGCGTTGATTAACAAATGATATACAGTTTTGGCTGAATATCAAAATAATATTTGAGAAAAACAATATTTTCAGTGCAGCGTTATTTGAAATAATTGTGCTCTGCATTTTTTTCGTATCATGGCCATTCGCACCCTCTGTTTTGATTTTACAATGCATTACCCCCACCCAAATTTTCAATATTTTTTTTTAATTCTTACCAAAATAATAAAATCATTTAATTCGTTCGAGGATAAATAATGTTATAAAGGGTTATAATAATTATGCTTACATTTTATGCCTAGATAATTGTTTATGTCTTTTAATTTAAAATAATATACTTATACATATTGTTTGGCATGTGGTGCGTGTACCGTTTATCTGACCTTGGTTTTTTTTTTCGTAGACTCGATACTCTAATGGGAGGCGATTTCCAGCAATACAGGGCCAACGTGTCGTGCGGACGAGCAGAGTGCACTTACATTTCTGCCATAAGTGAGTACACCTTCTAACTATACCCATTATTGACCTTCATGTTATAATATATCCTACATAATTGAAAACTTTTTCGGTAATAAACCTGCCTTCCGTTCCCATATCATATAAATATACCTAACTATTCCCTCCCCCACCCTTGACGTAGTCGATGCCCGTTATTATAATGACGTTTTTTTTTCTGTTTTTGTTCTCTTCTCCCGCTCGCCGCACATAGGTACCGGTCAGAACAAGGCATCGCACTTCCACTGTCTCAAGTGCGAGTTCGTGTGCACCGACACCAACAAAGTAGTGGCTCACCGGCGCCAGCATCAGAAGCTTGACTCCATCATGGCCGCTGGCTTCGAGAAGTTCACCCCGGCGCAGGCGTGCGGTCAGCCCGGTGGTTGCGTGCACTCCGGCAAGCAGACACACTACCACTGCTTGAGCTGCCAGTACGCCGTGCTCGGCCTGTCCCAGATGACTGCCCACAAGTACCGTCACATGGAATGATGCATCACTGCACGATCGACGGGTACAGATCTGCGCACGCCTCTCTCTCTCTCTTTATATTATGTATATATCAGTTCCTATATAGACATATATATAAATATTACAATAATATTATTATGTACGCGTGTCGATGTCGATAGTATATATGCCAATAATTCGTTGTTAAAAAATATTGTTACGATAGGTAGTACCTACTATACGTCTATACGAAATGGATATAATATAATAACATAATATTATGTAATCGAATTTTTAGTAGGTATATTTTTGCGATGTATATTTCTTTTTTTGTTTTGATTTAATAATTTATTTTGTATACACATACACACACACACACACAGGGTGTACCTATATATATATATATATACGCGGATCAGTGTCGATATTATGTATATCATGTTACATACTACTATTATATTATTATATAGGTAAAGAGAGAGAGAAAAAATATTTATATAATTGTAATTTATTATATCATACCATTTACCTAGTATTACCTACACTCAGATATATTATGTGTGTACACTGTACAGGTATGATAGTATCATCATTGTATAAATGCTCAATCGTAGTAAGTCGATGACAATACATCTTTTTAATGCTCTACGACCATGTCGTTGGGGTGGCCGGCACTCTCTACTCCACTCTTCACACCACACACACCCCTAGACCCTAACCATAACCACGGTATATCCGTCGTGCGTGATCACTTATTGTACAGCGTAGGGAGGTTTAACCCTATCCCACGACATATCATAGACCTATTATATTATGACCACATATACACGAGTTATATATATATATATAATATATATTATATATATACTTTTTTTATGAATAAAGACTCTCTGAGTCGATCACTATCTTTATTATTATTATTATTATTATTATATTTTTTTAAAACTAGTCTCGCTTATTATTTCTAATTATTATTATTATATTATTAATCATCTTTTAACAGACCAAGTTCTCGTTTTGTAATATTATTTATGTATATATTATATTATAATATACACTTACCTATTATATTATTATATTTTTAATCGTGTAACTTATTTTTGGAAACCGTTCCTCCCACCTCGTTTGGCGGTTTTATTTATTTTTTTCTTTTGTGATATTGATTTATTATTATTATTTATATAAACACCCCCCCTCTCCCCCGTGTACATAAAATATTTAATATATATCATATATATATATTCTTTATATAGACTACTGCGAAATCATAAAAATAATTAAAATAATATACATGGGTGTGTGCGCGCGCGGTCAAACAAGAACACGTCGTGCAATAGTGATCTAAATAGTATAGACTATAGAACTATGTAAATATAAACATACTATTATTTATTATAATACGTACCTACTACCTATAGCATTATATTATAAAAATCAACCGAAAAACGCGATTACATTATTTTAGTGCCTTGCGTAGTGCGTTCATATAACAATATTGTATGATTTTCGATAGTGTCATTGCATTGGGTTTTTGTATATTATATAGGTACATACATATTATAATAGAATTTAGTATTTAAAATATAAACATATAAAGTAAACATGCAATCGTGTTATCATCAATATTGTTATATGATATTTTATTTACATTAGTATGCAACGTTTGGAAGTGGTGGGGGATTGCTGGTGCAGAAGTCCGTTGCCGAAACTCGCAGATGCGCAAGACGTTGTCGTCGAGTGGGGGAACGGATCGAATGTCAAGAAAAATTTTACCTATCTGGCGAAAAGAAATCGTGTTGTTTTCCCCGGTCTAGGTACACCCTATAAAATACCTATTTTATTATTGTAATTAGGTACATAATTTTTATTGTTAATTCTCTATTGCCCGATTGGCGATTAAAGTCGAGCACGCACCACATCATACCGTTTTATGCATCTCCAACCCCCCTCCCACTTCCTGACCGAGGACGAGAAGCTGAGACGATCGCTGTGGATTTTTTCGGAGGGGTAACAAAGTTTAAGCAAAGAGAGCGCAAAACAACTGTTGGAATTTAAACATAACATGATAATATTACCCCATCACGGAGCTGTATCATACCTGAGGGATAATAATTTTGATTTTTTTTTTTACAAGTATTGTGATAGAATTTTTTTCGGTATACATTCGTATTGATTTTCACGGCTGCCATATATATATTATATATATGTATATAATATAATATACAAATATTTTTTTTCAACTAGGTACTGTGTTTAGATTTTTATATAGTTAATATTTAATAATAATAATATATTGTGTAATTTTAATAAAAAATTAAATAATTCATTTGAATATAAATATTTATATACTATTATGGGTTAATTAGTGCCTTAACACATTATTATTTTTTTTTGTATATTTGATTTTAGATTATCTTTACGATGGTGAGTTGATCACAGATATTTGATTGTACAATCTTTGTTTATTATTATTATTTTTTTTTTTTAGATATTATTTAGATGGTAGATTTTAAGTATGATTTTTATGAGTTGGTGTATAATAAATTTGTGAATTGAATAATAAAAAACAAACAAAATAAAATTATTGAATAATGAATTTTTTTTAATATCAATGAATAATAATATGCATTAAATGCCTATAAATGCGTATAATTTTTTTTCCTGAATACTTAAGACTTAAATGTTTTATGAATATTGAATATAAAAATGAAACACAAATCTTAACAATTACTCATAACACTGTATACAACATAAAATATAAATAATTAATTAAAATGAATAATGTTACTTAATACTATAAGAACTCACAATATTTGAGATATTGAGTCATTAGAATAAGACAACAGTATAAAAAAAAAATTCCAATGGTCATGTTTGATTCTTTATTTATCAATGCAAAATATAATGTCCACTGTGGTGTTTTTAAATGAAAGATTCTTGATCAACTGAAATCATAGAATAAAAATTATAAAATTAATATATATTAATTAATTTTAATAACTACGCATAATATTTTGGATTTGTTCAAGCCAATATTAAGCCCAAAAATAATTTAGGAATAAAAACAATGTATAATATTATACCTACAACTAAATTATAGAACTTATATTATATACATATAACTATTATTATATTTCGAGACCGCAAATTTATTATAATTTAATTTAATATAATATACATAAAATATTCTCATTACACAGACATAAAATATACAATTATCTGAGATTGATTAACAATAAATTGTTTGGTTATAATAAAATGTTTGAAAAACAAATTAATATTATAAATATATTATAATCTAAAAGTGAAGTTCTACATTTACCACTGAACTATTGAAGTAAAATATAAACTTTTAGATTATATAGAAAAAATCCCCCTCCCTTAGTCCCTTCTACAAATACATTTAACAAACCTTTGGTGTGACAACCAAATACTGATTGTTTCTATCTTGAAATAACTCCATAAACAGTTCCATCAGTTTCCTTTCATATACTTTATCCATGCCCTATGAAATTAATATCATTGAAATGTTATTAAATAATTATCTAATATCTTAATCATTATAGTTTTAAAAGTCTACGAACCTGATTAATTTCATCAACAATTCTGAATGGAAAATGTGTAACTTCTTGAAGGGATAACAAAAATAGAGCCGTTGTCAAAGCACGTTCACCACCACTTTGGCTTTTGGCATCTAATAACCTAAGCGAAGGAACGTCATTGCGAAATTGCACCTTTATCAAAAGCCCATATGCTTGGAAATCGTACTACAAACCAACATTTGTATGTAAATCGTAAATTATAATTATTGCCAAAAAAATAGCTGGTATAGAATATTTACCCTCGTTACACCAATATCCAAGTCAATTAGGCCACTACAACCAAACGAATTGAGAAATTTCTGGAAATTAACAGACAACAAGGTAGTAAGTTCTTGAATTTTCGGCAACCATTCAGAGTGTAATCTTTCAATTTCATGTTCTTTGGTTTGAGCATTGAGGTTTAAATTTTCTAATTTCTTTTCTAAATTCTTTATTTTTATCTTGCGTTCCTTGTATTCTTTTATTAACTATAATATATTCAACAGAAAATATAACTAATGTATTTACTTATTCTAAATAAGTTTTTTTTAAACAAAAAGTTAACAATTGTTCTTATTTTACCTGAGGAGCGTTTGGATCGATATTTAGACAATTGAGTTTGGCTTTTTTCTCAACAATTAATACATCTAAATCATCAACATCATTCTGTTCTATACTATCAAATTTTTCAATCATGGTTTGAAATAAAGTTCTATCGTATGGAGACAATCCATTAGTCCAATGTACAGCTACATCTAGCATTTTCTTGAATTCCGATTCCAACTTTTGTAGGTACTTCAGGTAATCGCTGAAATTGCTCTAAGAATAAAATAATATAAGTCATATAATAAATTCAACTAAACAAACAATTAAAATTTGCAAAAATCTTTACCAGGTTAGTTACATAGAGTGTCTTTAATTGCTTCAAAACTTTGTTTTCATCTTCCATGTCAACGCAACAATTGCTAACAACAAAGACAGAACTCATCAGATATATCATACTAGTTGAATAACTGTCCAGCGTCGCAACAGCTTCATTCATTGAATCAAAGTACTTATTGATTAGTTGCTAATAATACAAAAATACATTAACAATCCGATAAACAAACTGGTGAATGATTAATATTTAATAGTTTATAATAAACAAACCGAATTTTGGCTTAATAATTTTGTGGATCTTTCTTTTTCTGTTTTAAGTTCACTTTGTTTGAACTCCATATCTTTTACCATTTTATCATAAGCTTGTTGCCTGTTTTGAAATTTCATAAAACTTCCTTGTATTTCTTTTTTCCTTTCAAAAAAAGGTTGACGACTGTCTTCGGCAACTCTAAGGTGATTAATAATTTCAGTTTGTTTTTGAGTAAAATGTTCACAATTTACTCTAGCTTCTTCTTTCCTGAAAAAAATAACAAATTAATTGATTAAAATAACATTACAATAAATGTGTGATTAAATTTAGAACCCTAACAATTATAATTTAAAACTATTAAAATGTAAATATTTTTTCTCTAATGTAACTAAAATGTATAAAAAAAATTAAGCCATGTATATATCAAGTTGAATTATATTTTTTCTAATTAACTTTATACATCAAATAATAATATAGAACAAAATTAATAGTATTATCCTATTTGTATGAAAAAGTTTATTAATATTTATTTGTTGTTTAAAAAAAACAATATTTTTGTCAAACGATAAGTTTTAAATAAAAAAGGTTTTGGTTGAAAAATACAGTATTTCTTATTTTTCTTACTAACACATTTTAACTAGGAAAGTTGTATTGTCTAAGACTTTACAAAAATAAATGAAAAAATCATTAACTTCTGAGCTTAGTCATAAGAATTATAATAACAATTTACTTGGTTGCCAGAGATTGAATCAAATTTGAGTCTACAGAAAACAGCAAAAATTGTGCCTCAGTTGATATTTGTGTTTGTCGTGTGATTTTTTCTCCCGTATAGTTTGAAGTTCTTATACTAACTTGATCATTATCTGTAAATAATAAAGTCATATCAAATAAAAATACAGATAAACATAATAAAATATATCCCAATAGATACTCTAGATTTCAATTTTGTTGAATTACCTGCAAAAAAGAAGCCAATATTACTGGGTAAACTCTGCATATGATTCAAAACTTCCTTGGAACCAATAGGAATATTTTGCATGTCGTAACTTCTAGCTAGATATCTCCTTATGACAGGTGGTGCTTGTATCATGTCTAATGCATAAGTATGGAAGCCAAATTTTCTGTTTTAAAAATTAAAATATTGATAGCTTAAGTTTGTACACAAATAAATCATAAGACCAAAAATGTTGATTTAATAACATTATAAATAATACAATACAATGAAACTTCCATATTACTTCTAATCTCATGGGCAAAAAAAAAATGTGTTGATAGAGGAATACGAGAAATAGAACTAAATAAATTTGTTTCTCAAATATAGAAAATTTTGTTAGATGGATGTTTCAATGTAGGTAAAAACAAATTTCCTGAATGGGAAACAAACATTAATTTTTTTTTGACATTATCTTAACCATAAAGAGTGTATAATTTCATTTAGTTTATGAATATTATTTAATATATAAATTGGCACTATTTAGCATAAACATTTCATTTACAACCATCAATATTTTATGAAACAGTTTGATAACTTACCTCAAACTATTTATATCATAATTTGGTATCTCGTTAACTTTAAAATTGGCAGGTGGAGCTGAGATTGAATTAATTTTTTTCCAATGCTCTTGTTTTACTATTTTATTAAATGTAGTCAGATCTTCTGCATACTCAAAAACAAATGCAATCATATCACGATAATTAACAATATTTTCTATGTACTTGGCATTTTTTTGGTCACGTACTTCAATCTATAATTATTAATAATTGTACAAACGTATAATATTATTATTTTAAAAACTAAATAAATAAGAAATATTTTTTAATTAAAAATACCTGAGTGAATAATGGTTCAAATACTTGTCCATGAAAAATTGATGACTTATCGCAGTTTTTTAGCCATTTTATTGCTTTCCACATTTCCGGAAACTTTCTCTGCAGTAATTGATTTTTGCCATCTTCTTTTCTTTTTTCAAGTTCAAGTTGTTGATCAATGGCTTAATATAAAACACAAGTAGCTCAATACAAATTAAATAAATAGTTAAATACAGTATAATATAGGTACCTACTATATGAAACTAAAATAACATCTTATTTTTATTTATAACCTGAAAATACTAACCACACATTTTTTCAGTTAGACCTCTTAGTTTGCTTTTAATACTTTCTAAATTGCTTTTCACAGGGTAAATATTTGCATCGATGCTTTTGATATTTTTATCAATTTCGAGAAGTTCCAGTTTACACTCTGTACAAGATATAATTTACACATTTCAGTATCAACAACATAAAATATTCAAGATTTTTTTTTACCGTCAACATTGAATGTTTCATTTTTTATACTTTGTAACTTCTCTTCCATAGATGATATGGACTCTGCAAGGTCTTCTATTTTGTTTGAATTTTTTTTAAGTGCTTTTATCAATTGATTTATATCAGATACATGACAATTGGCAGCTCCAACTTGATTATTAAGTTTATCAATTAACTTAAATACTGCATTTGCCTAAACCAAAGATATATTTTCATAGATCATTCAAAATATTATTAGGATAGATTTAATTAGTTACATTCTGAAGAACCAAATTTTTCAGATTTATTTCTCCTGACTGTTTCCTTTTGATTCTATCTCTCTGCTGATTAATAAGAACCAAGGCATCCTTATTATGTTTTTTTGACTCTTCAAATTTTTTTTTTTCCTGTGAAAGAATTGTATGAGGATTAACATAATATACAATCTATTCACTTTTAATAGTATTGGCATATAATTTATAATATCATTCAAAATAATATAATGAATCGTACTTGATGACTATTTTTTAGTACATTAGGTAATAGGTATAACAATACAATTTTTATATTTTTTGGTATAGTGACAAATTCACAGAAATCCAGTTATTCTGTGATGGACAGGGCCGGATTAAACAAATTCGGCCCACCGAGTTTTCCGTACATCACCAGCACACTTACAAACTGGCGGCCTTTGTGTACGTTTTTATTCCATGCATAGTTTTTTTTATTTTAGTCTCTATTTTTTCAACTCTTAACATAATATGTTTAATATTATTTTCAGAACGGCCCAAAATTATAGCAGCCTACAGAGTTTTACTCGGTAACTCGCCGGGCCAATCCGGCCCTGGTGACAGATCTAACAATGTAACAACACATAGATAATCTTGTTGTCCGTAATTTTACACAATAAGATGAATAGTGACCATTCTAATAATTAATTAATGATATATATATTTTGTTACTGCTGAAATCAATGTTAACTTAAAATATAAATTTGCAGACTATTATTAAGTATTTTCAAATTTCTTTTTTATGGTAAATAAAGCTTTGACTACAAAGGTTTTTAGCCTACATGAACTTAATAACTAGAATAAAATATTAGTATACATTAGATTGTATAGGAAGATTTACAGTTCATGTTTTAGACTGATGGTATGAAAAAATTTACAATATTCTCTTCGTTAAGGGCTTAGTAAAATAAAAGAGGTTGTTTTGGATTTTGTGGAATTCAGCAAGTTTTTGGGATTCAACACATTTTTGGGATTATCATTATTTGCTTTCTATTGGGAGTTTTCAAGTTTTATAAATATTTAAAATAATAATTTGTAATAACAATGAAATTCTGACTGAGGGGGCGGCCTCAAACACACAATGGCATTACCTCACTATATGCGACTTGTGGCTTATTATTTTATGGCCGCGACAACTATATCAATGGAAAATCTATTGTTAAAATAAAAAAATTATATTTTCATTTTATGTTACAACAATGTTAGAGAAACATTATGTTATTATCAATAAATTGTTATTGCCCGCATAGTTAACTTATTCAATATATCTGGCACAGTTAATACTTTGAGTTTGACATGCCTGCTGTATTATGTACCATAAATATACAATATATACATACACTAGAAATTTGTTTCCAAGCCAACATATATAAGGACCAACATCTCTTCTGTAATACAACCAATAATTGTTCTTCCAATAATTTTTTTTGGGTAAATGAACTAACAATTGTTTCGAGTCTATAAATGAACAGTTTTAAGATAATATTAATAACATATAAATTAATACGTTTAGGGGGGTCGAAAGCAGTGATTTGCTGCCTTGGTCCAACATACACGAAACAGGAATTTAGATGTATCCTATTTGCAGATTGTTCTTTACTCTATTCTAAATAAGATCATGATTCGGCGGCCGAGTTGTTGCTTTGTTCCCGTGGCAGCACCTGATGCGCCACCGTAGTGAGACGAAAACTGGTCGCCGCCGAAGCATGATCTTATTTGGAATAGAGTATAGCGAAGCGATAAGAATTCTGAAAACATAGATTTGAATTTGTCGTAAAGTCTACTATCCTATATTTATTGATTTAATCCCATCAAATCTTTAGAGGTTAAATTAAAAAATACATTAAAAACCTGTCATATTTAAATTATTGGAAAAAAAATCATAAATATGGGGGACTATTTAATGTAGACTTAAGGACAAATTCAAATCATTTTTTAGAATTTTTATTTACTCTATACCATAAAGATGCATGCGGCTGACTGAAACTTGTTTATTCCCACTTTCTCTTGGCACAGGCTTTACTAGATGAATTAATAGATTGGCAATGGCATAAATCTAAATTTCTGTGTTGCGTGTGTGTTAAATAAACACTGTTTTCAAATTTTCAGTAACCTTAAAAACTAAGCGCTTACTTTAAATTTACAGCAATCTCTAATCTGATATTATCTTGTAATTTCTTTTGATCACTATCATATGAAGTTATGCTAACAGCAAGAGTTTTCAACTTTTCAAAATTGTTCAATAAGTCTTGATTTTCTACAATAATATAATAGAAGTACTAAATAAGTGCCCTTTATCAAACAGTTATAAACTTAGTACTTACCAATACTTTGTAAAGCATTTAATAATAAACCTTTAGAATCTAATTTAGAAAAATCTTCAAGTCTGTCTTGTGGTAAAAACTGACATAAGTTGTGTACTTTTATGTTAAAACTTTCAACAATATCAGAGTACTATAAATATAATAAAAAAATATAATATTCATTAACCTGAAATTGAACAATTTTTTTTAATAATTACTTTTTTTTTTGAGACTAAAATACTGTTGACATAATAGTGACAAGTATCATTGCTGGCGAATATTGTTCTTCTCAAATGTATATTTTGATTCGATCTCTTATAAAGTTCTATCGAAATATCTGCTACGGATTTGCCTAGTTTTACAAACTGACTGACCTATAAGTAGTTTACACATAATAATTAAATACAATGATAGAATTCACAATTGAAATATATGCCTTTTGTTAATATTATATAAATTTGTTCTTAGTTGATGAAATAACTATCTTTTTTGCATATTTATTGATATATTTTTATCTTTTTGATTTTATGGACATACTTTGATAGTACATATCTTAATATTTAAATAAAAATTATGTACTTTGGTAAATATTTTTCATCAATCAAAAATAATTTAATTAAATTGCGAGAATGGTATAAAAGTTTATCAAAACTAAATATTTATAAATTATGATCAATTAGGTTGATTTAGATTTCAATCAACTACATACAGTGAAAATGCAAATTGTATCAACAAATTTATACTCTGTTCATATACATAAGAGTAAACCACTCGGCTGACCAAATCAAGTTTTTTCCGCTCATTCCCACCACAATCCGGACATCAGTGAGTTTTAACACGGGCGCCTGACGATGACTGTCCGCCAATCACAGAACGCATAGCCTCCGCATGGGGGGTCAGGCACTGTTCGGCAGCTCAGTCTGCGTGCGCGAAAGTGGTTCACTCTTAGGTGGAACAGAGTATAGTATGGGTATTTTTATTACGAGTAATTTAATGAGGGTAGGAAGTGACCACTATTGATTATATTTTATACTATAATTGCAGTAGATCCATTCTATATTGTTAATCATTTTTTTTATATTTTAGTGCAAATTGAATATCATATTTTAAAAATGTTCTGCATCGAAATAAATTTATATATTTTTGTATGAAAATTATGATAATGATAGCTGATATAACAGATGAATACTAAATTTTTCTACAAAATAGTATGGTTTTTTATCATTCTACACTTAATATAATAACCACGGTTATATTTATATTGAACTTATAATGAAAATAAGTATCCACAGGGAAAGCCAGCGAACACCCAGTTTTCCCCATACCTGATCATGCTACGCCTATGTTATTAATTAATGTGAGACACATGAGTAAGAAAATAACCTGGTAATACTTCAAGTTGTAACTAAAACTATACTAACTTTGTCTCCTCTATTAATGTCCTTTGGATTACCACCAAATCCTAATATGAGAGCTGTAACAATTGACGATTTTCCAGAACCATTGGGCCCAATTATTAAATTCAGTTTTGAATGTGGAGTATATGTAACTTCAGTAAAAGTCCTGCAAATTGATAACATATTTGTATCATGGCTTATTAAATATTAAGAACCTATTGCTAAAAAAACTTTAAATGTCTTCAAAAAACAATTGGTATAATTGTTATTTTTAGATATACTGCGACCCACGAGAGAGTATCCTCGTGTTGCGCATGCAGACTGACGGCGGACACCGTTCAGAGACCCCTTTCCCCCACTATTTCCGAGAGTGCTATACACAGTATAGCGATGAGCACTGCCGACCGTTTCTGAACAGCTATAGGCAATGCCGAGTAGTGGGGAATGCGAGGAATCTGACGAGTTTTCGTCGAGCGATGGAATACTCTCTCGTGGGCCGCAGTATAGTGGATATTAGGTATTCATATAATTATTGTAATACTCTTAACTACACATAGTAGTACAGACCTATTAAAATACCTATAAACATTACAACATTTAACAAAAAAAAAAAATTACTTCTAAACTACGTGTAGACAGTATAGAAATGTATCTAATATAAACACTAATACGTAATAAGTAGGCATAATACAAATTCTAAGGGCCGTTCTTACGACGTCCGGTTAAAGTTAACCGACACTTAACCGGAAGAATTCTGCCGGTAATAAAATCTGTTATCAGTCGGTTAGCGTTAACCGACACTTTACCGGACATTGTAAGAACGGCCCTAAATATTCAAGAAAGTGGTAAAATATCACTTTGTGATCAATTCATAAATCAAGTAGAGGTTTGTTTGGGATTAATCCACGATCAACTCAGTTGAAATCACATAGGTTTAAGGTATTCAAATTCCATCCAGTGACCAAAATGTAAAATCAGTACTAAATACCAATATTCAATAAGAAAAAAAATAGCAAAAAGATAGGACTCTACATTTAAACAATAGGTAGCGTTAGAAAAAAAAATAGCAATAGTGAAAGCTAGTCACTTTTGTGAAGGAGTAACTTTAGCGTTAGTGCTCTGCAAAAAAACCAGTAGCGTTCCAACCACTGGTAGCTAGGTATACAAACTTTAAATCTGCATCAGTTTAGTACAAATTATTTTAAACAATAAATATCTAAAATATATACCTATTAAAAAATAATAAGATAAAAGCGTAATTGCTACCTATTAACTGAAGTAAGTACAATTATTCACAAAATCATAACAAAATTAACATTTTTACAGGTTTTGAGGATGTAAACCAACTTACATGAAATTCTTCAATACTACTTTGACAATGGAACCGTCGACTTTGTGATCAATTTTACGTTTTTTGCTTACAACTTCTGAATCGCCACGGCTTCTGGAGCTCGTTGCGGAGTTATTCATTATTACAAATACCTAGTTAAAATAAAAAATATTGAGGAATGTAATTTACACTTGACGTACCTATTTGTAAAAAATACAAAAGCAATACAGCCAAAATACAATATAAAAGTATTATCAATCCATAAAAATATAATAATATATACCTAAACCACGTCCAAACAAAAGGTCAAGCACAACTCGTATTAAGTATGTATATTGTCGTCGAAGCGGAAAAATGGTTATGTACTATCCAAATGTAAGAATTATTAAAACCACAACGAAAAATATTGTCAAAAACTCGGACGACGTACACCAGTATGAAAACGAACTAAGAATTACTCAATACCGAGTAACGACAAAGAAAACTTAAGGTACTTGGTAGGCAGCATAGATAAAAGTAGTACTCGGAAGTCAGTCACTAAAATAGTATAATAATCGTCATTCGTCAGTACTCGGTAAGGCGGCACTTTTGTCCATACTCCATTACTCCGGTACTCCACAGTCCAGGTAAGGTTAGGTCAGGCTTCCCATTAAATTTCGGGAAAAGTGCCCCAATCGTACCAAGTATCGGGCGCTCAAACGGTTGTAAGTAAGTGTAACTTGTCTGATCTAAATTCTACAAGGTAAAAAGTAAAAACTAAAGTCAAAAATTGAATTGCTTGGTGAGCGGTGACCGATGATAATTATTGATAACGCAAAATGGCGCGAAAATTGACAAAGCAGTGTCGCTATGTACGGTAAATGAGAATTACTTCTGGACGACTCGACCTTTGTAGATTACACGAAGAATGAATTAAGATAAATATTATATTATATAATTAAGGTATAATATTATTATCTTAATAGTTAATAGTTAATTCGTGGTAGGTAGTAGCCAGTAGGTACATTCCACATGGCCATTGACCACGATTATCGTGTACAATATGATCAAGTCCCCAAAGTAAGTAAATATTTATTTGTTAAAACTTATACGTTTGACAACATTATTTTGGTTTTGAGTTGTGACCACCCTATTATACATTATTTAGACATTTTATAAAAGATTCTTTTGTTTGACGTCTATAGTGGTGACCACAGACACCCAGGTCCCAGACCTACAGGCGAGAAAGAAGCCAGTGGCTGTACGCCAGAATGTGGTTCGTCGAGTACTCGAGTGATGCAAGTGAGACACTGCCTCAAAGGTGTAAATAAGGGGGGGATTTTGGGGCTAAGCCCCCCAAATGCCAAACGCTATTTCTGCCTCCTCAAAATGTATAGATAATATAAATAAAATATAATACATATTATATTATATAAATTAAATGTGACCATTCTAACCATCTGATTTAATTTTATCTGTAGCTATTTTATTGTGAAACAAAAGGTAGTGGTCTGAGTGTCTGACGTCTGAATTATTCAATTGTACACCAACATATTAATCTGTAATCTATTAATATATTATACATTAATCTTTAAATTATATCTAGTGTTTTGAATGGTCATAGAACAATACGAAATGATATATAAATGTCGTATCAGCTGTATGGAATATCATTAATATGCATACTAGTATACTGTATACCACATCACCATGATTAAAATAAATATATTTATATATACTATATTTATAACAGCCAACAGCTATTAAAATTTTTGTAAAAGGTTACGTTATTTTCGTAGGTATATTATTATTATCTAATCGTAATCTATCGTAATTCGCAATGTACATTATATAAGGACGAGTGCTTTTGGAGCCATGGCCCATGGAGGGAGTCGAAATTGCCGACGAGAGGGAAACCGAAAAAGAAATTGATACTACCACGGGAGTCGGCAGTACGGACTGCGGAGTACGGAGGCGTCGTGATTCCCACGGTAATGCGGTCGTGTGTCGTCGGCTATCGTCGTGTTATTACTATTATTTTTATTTTACTTTTGCCATAATTTATTATCTCTCGACTACAACTCGACTCTCCGTCTCCACAGTCCACAACTTGCACTTCCGTTCCGGGGTCCCCCTCACACCTTTCCAACGTCGTCACCGTCGTCGTCGCTGTCGCTGTCTTCTCTTTTTTTTGACGCGCGTACACTTCGGCGCACGAGTGCACGACGTCCTTGTCGGTGGATTAATCGTTTGTTATTTTTCTCATTGTTATTATTCACCATCCGCCTTTAACAGTGTGTTCAAATTTGACAGTATAGTAATAATAACAAAAGAGGAAAAGTCTATTATCATTAGTTCGATCACCTACTACTGACCCACCACCATCACCAACGTCGAATTATCATTTATTCATTTCCGTATTAAAGTCATTCACACTATAGGCGTCTACAAATTAGTCACTTTTACCCAATACCTATTGTATCACCTCTGTCGTTCAGAGACACTCGTTGCGCATCACCTGGGAGGGCCGACGGACCTCCTACAACCATCGAGCTGATTGTAGTTACTGGATTAAGGACTTCATAAGTCAATTATTTCGAACTTTATTGTCATCGTTTTGGAATAAGTAAGTATTTACCTACCAGTCGTTCAAGTGTATCGAAACTCTCGTATAACGGCTGGGACTAAATATAAAATGCGTATTATTATTGTATTGGGCTCTGAGGCTTAAGGTCACATACTATCTCACCTTATATAATAACAGCACTACACGTTATAAATTATAATCTCAGTCCGATAGCAATTGAACTTTGTTGCACCATTTATGGCAATGGGGGCTGATGTCATCATTACTACGAATTTCCAATTTCGTTTTTCCAGGTGCTGTTGTCCTAACCGGAATAATATAATGTTGTTTATACAACACTGATAGTACTACAACATACCTAGTAAATTAACTTAGGTATGTCACGCAAACAAAAATGGAGATCAAACCCTGACAATGAACAATTGGATGATTCACCTATATCGCTTACTATTGAAACACTAACAGGTACAGCATTTGAAATTACTGTGTGTCCAACTGACTATATAAGTTCATTGAAGTCGCGAATACAACGTGTTGAAGGTTTGTATTCTAATAAAATATCTACTTCTCTGTTTTGTGGCATTCAATATTTCAGTAATTATTACCCAGGTATACCAGTGAACCAGCAACACTTGCTCCTTGGAGAAAAAATATTATCTGACCATACAACTATAGCTAATAATAATCTTCATGATGGATCAACATTGCGATTGGTATTGTCCTTACAAGGGGGACCCATTGGCACCAGCCGTAGAATGCTACCCTTGGATAATGAAACCATTCGACAATTGGTTAATCTAAATAAGTGAGTAATATTATATTTTCATAGTTTAAGTCCAGTAATAAACAATATAAATATTAAATTACACCTTACTATCAAACTTATAGACGACTCAAAATATTGAAAAATAAAAAAGTAACCTAGGTGTATATAAAATTAATAATACCTGTAAACTTAAAATTAGTATTTTCTAAATTAGGTACTGATTTTTTTTCACATTTATTAAAAAAAAATTCAATCTAAAAAGTATTTTTTTATAATTAATCAATTGACTAGAAATAAGTAAAAAATAAAATGGTTATGTCCCTACTACAATAAATGTTGTAGATGCCTAATAAGTAGTAAACTATGTCTTTATTTTATACGATCTGTTAACAGAACTTTTTTACCTAGTCATCAAGTTCCTTTTAAAATAAATTTGTTTTTATATTTATGGTTTTTAGAATTCTGATTTGATACATTTTTCATTTGTTGTGTATCCTAATTCAGTATTTCAGTGTTAGGGTATTCAGGATAGATTAACATAAATACATCATATTATTGTAATATCACGATTGCTTTTAATCGCTATTAATGATAAACCTTTTTATCGATTTTGTAACAATTTATACATTTAACAAAGGAATATTTTGGATTTACTATTATGATTTTTTTTAGATTTGTTTTCTGTGATTACTTATTTACTTTGGTAGAAGGAATACATTTTTTTAATCAGTCCTTAATGATTGGAAATCATAAAAAGCTATAAAGAAGTATCCACTATCCAGAAAATGATTTTGATTTTACCCAGCTTCTCTTAGTTTTAAACATATTGTTTAAATTATATTATATAATATTCTCTTATGTAATTTAACCTTACATAATTGTTATTGTTAATCTTCCAGAAAAGAAATATTGGAGGATGCACCTCCAGGTAGTAAGCTTGCAGTCTTAATATTTCGTGAAGGTGAAGTTATTAACTTACTTCGTGTTATTGAAAATAGTGATGGCTCTTTAACAAATTTAAAGGAATCCTCTAAGTAAGTGTTGAAATATTTTTGTATTAATTTTTAATAGTAATATATATGGAAAAAAATGTGTCTAGAAAAATATCTACAGTAGAATTACCAAAAAAGAAAAAATCTAAGCCATCTGTTGAAAATAATACGACATATCTTAAGATGATGCTGTTGAAACATAATTTAGAAACACTATCGATTTCATCAAAATCTAAAGTAAGTCTAATTTTGTAATTTAATGCCTAATTTTACATTTCTTATTAATATTCTTTTCGTACAATGATGCTCAAACTGTAGCCCGTGGACAATTTTTAGGTTGAAAATAAATATTTATTAATTTCTATATGTATTTTATACATGTCTAATATTATTGACCTGCATGAGGGTAACATTTTACAAATATGACCTGCCAAATATATATTATAATTTATTATTAATTTATTTACACTTGCAATTTGATATACTACATCTGAAATGGTTTAGCAGATAAATGCTTTATGACTGTTGTTAAATCTATAATAAAATTCCAATTATTCACAATTTCTATTGAGACAAGGCCTGATACCCAGTTTGTGTGTTTGTTTTATTTTAGATTAGCTAAATAATTGAAATCTTTAGTAATTCGGCATATCTCTTAAATTTCTCATTGCATTTTCAACTTAAAATTTAAATGCTTGTGTTAACAAATATTATATTATATTATATTCTTATGGTAATAAAGTTTTTAAGATGTAGCCAATATACAATTTTTTAGGCATATTTTACTGACATTTTATTGTTTTTTCAAACTTGTAAAGAATAATATTGTAAGAATATAAAACAAACACTATATTTATCAAAATTGTATTATACTTGGTAAACTTTTTTTAGATTCTAAGCATAGCAATCATATTAATCATATTTGCTTCACATCAAGGTGTATGTTTTTTCTTTTGTGCTTGTGATTGTTTGAAGACACTAGAAAAAATTCTTTTACTTCGGAGAAGATTTCTGGTGGAAAATTCTATCTAGTTTATACTGTTGGGTTTTAATAGAAATGTCCAGTACTTTTAAAAATAATTAAGGATAAGAAAAGTTACTCAAAAATAAGATTACTCAAAGCCAGTTTTTGACAAAATATAATTATTTAATGATTTTATTTTTAACATAGATACTTGTTATACTGGTTTATATTCTCATTATTACTATACAAAATACTATAACATTCATTGTTAATTTCTTTGAGAGTTAAGGGAAAGTTACATGAATGATTTGTTTCACGCTCTACTTATTTGTGACTATTCACCTAATCTTATATCTTTATTACATGGTAAGTTATTCTATATCTAATAAAATAACTTTTCCTATAAAAAAAAATTGTTGTTTAATTATGTTAACTTATAGTTTTAAATTTTAAAATAAAATTACATCTACTTCGTCCAATTTTAAACCAAAGCTTCAAATCTATACCAAATGTTTTGTGTAATGTGTATACATCTCTTTTTGACCCATTATAACATGAGATCCAATAATAATCCAATAATATGGCTTTTCTAAGCCGTCCCGGATTTGCACTATACATGCACTCTCCTTATGATAACATCTGAACCTTGGTTTGTATCTGACCTCATACTACACTGACCTCAAAATCAAATCAATTGATCAAATTGCCACCAAACATTACAAATCTTTTTAATACATTCCAATACTAACCCATTAGTATCGCAAATAGCATCCAATATATCACCCATCAACTCAATAGAAAATGTTGTGGAGATTTATTAGCCTAAAATGTTTCATGTTGGGTTCCTTCACTGGTTGGCCTCCCTCCTCATATTATTAATAGTTAAAATGTGTATAAATCATATTTGCTTATTGTGCTATTCCTACCTGATTATAAATATTGTTTTAAATAAAATATATCAAGGTAACTGACCACAATAATATTTCACCTAGCAATTAAATATACTATTATCACATCTTAATTTATTTTGATGTATATTATATTATAAAATACTTTTTCTTTATGAACAAAAATTTATAAAAATTTCCAGTTAAAAAGAACAAAACCTGAGCATCGTAAATCAGCTTCAGCACCAGAAAAATCACAAATGAAGACTGAAAAAGATAGTAGCAAGCTACATACATGGAGATTACCTATTGTTCAATCTACTCCGGTATTGGGGAAGTATGTTCGTAGTGCTGAATTCTCAAGAATACCAGTTTTGCCAACCATCACAAGTACATGCTCGGATAAGAATGCAAAATCCACTACAAGACAACTTTGCCATATCATGAATGAACCTAGACATAGTGGTAGTACTTCAAGCATTGACAGGTAATTTAATTTACACCATCAAACAAATGAGATTAAATATATACTTTAAATTATTTATTTATTTTTAAAGATTTAATAGTAATTAATAAGGTGGAATATTTATCTGTTTTTCTCCTTTATAGTAATATTTTTGTGTACTTATTTTACAGATAATTTAAAAGATTTTAATTTTCAATTACTGTAATATTAGTATCCTAATTTAAGTGTATTTATATAATAATAATATTTATACTTAATTTAGTGTAGATATACTTTTTTAAATTATAAATTTGGCAGTACCTATGTTTTTTTTACATCACCTCTGGGTTAATTATTATTTTGTGGAATGAAAGGACTTATAATTATCATGGTTAATTAGATGAGTATGACATAAAAATGCATTTTTTATGATTTGTCTATTGGTCTACTAATAATTTTGAAATCAATGAAATGGATAATTGTATTTGATAGCTTATATTTGTATGATATATAAATTATACAATATTATACTGTATAAAATTAACTAGAATTTAAGTTTAGACTTACTTAAGTCAATTAAGTATTGTATTTGTATTTATAAAATAATACATTTGATTTTAATTACTGTATTATTATATATTATTTATAAGTTATAACAATATTATTAAAACATTGTTCTGATTTCAGTATCTCAGAATCTGGTACTGATATTGATGTGTCCAGTACAGATTGGTCTAGGCGTCCTAGTAGTTCATCATTGGTGTTATCCCATAACATCCACATAAATGTTTCTAGACAAGCATCACCGACTGAACAAATGACTGCCATGTCTCTATCCAACAATACGGGATTGGGAGCTATACATAGGATACTGAATAGATCAGACATGCCTATTCAACTTGATGATGATGATGAACCTATGGAATCAGAAAGTAATAGAGTGGAAAAAAAATCTCCAACTATCGTACCTGAAGATCTGAATCAGACTATACCCGATCAAGTGGTTGAGAAAAAGAAAAAACGATGCGCTCAATGTAATAAGAAACTAACTATTAGCGCTCAGTATACATGTCGATGTGGGCTTACTTTTTGTCCAGTACATAGGTAAGTTAGCTAACTTTTAAATAAGTTAAAATTATTTAATTAATATTTTTAAATATATCTAATTTATAGTTCTAGTTCTAGTTAAAAACATATAAAAATTTGGAGCAAAAAGAAATAATAATTATTTATTTTGAAGTATAAATAAGTTATATTAGGTTCATTATTAGTATTTTTAATTTTATTTTAAATTATAACTTATTGTATTTGTATTATATTTTAGGTACTCAGAATCGCACAATTGCTCCTACGATTATCAAAAAAATGGTCGCAACTCTATTGAAAAAAACAACCCTTTAGTTGTTAGGCCGAAGTTACCAAAAATTTAATATATTGGTTCAGAACACAGAATACATAATATATCTTATTTGTAGATGTAACTTAATAGGTACTCGTGACTCACAAAACCTTTAATGATTGTCTGCATATTGAATTATAAATAATTATTAAAATGCCTCGTTGACCCATTTTTTCATAACTGTGCAATACTTGTTGAGTACTTTAACTATATAATAATTGACTCAACATTGTTATAGAAGTGGTTATTTAAGAGCTTTTTAAGTGTTCTAACACCAACTTACTAATATAGTTGTGTAATGTTGACTATCTTCCATTAAAGCAATTTATTAAACTTATTATAAGATACTACTCATAATATAATAATTATAATAATAAATATTAATACAATTATAGCATTTTTGGTTGTTAGAACTAAACTACGGGTAAAAATGTAATTTAACCAAAAACTTTGTATTTTTTTTCCTAAATGACCTTTTTTTGTTTGTAAATTTATGATGCCTATATTTATGTTTGTTATAAGTTTATTGGCTCTTTAAAATATCTGTAACCTGATATGACAATAAGACATAAGTGGTGTATTGCAATGAATGTTAAATTAGATTTGAAATTAAAATTTAGTTTTATTTGTGTTAAAAAAAAATAAAATATATGCATATTAACTTTATGTGCACACAAAACAACTATTTATTTTATTTTAAATATAAGCAATTAATGGAAATTAAAATTAAAAATCTTTTTTATTAAATATACAATTAAATATCTTATAGAATATTATACAGCTTAGATTTTGTTCTGCATAATACAATAATTACTCCATATTTCACATTTGTGAAAACTGAAAATGTCTATTAACACAAAATAAATAAGCATATTTTAGGAATAGCGGAAGAAAATTGAATACTTTATTTGAAGAAAAATAATTTGTACATTATTAAGTTAATTCAATTAATTTACTATTTACAAAACTAGCAACATTATTCATAGTTTAATTATTAGTTAGCAAAATTTGTTAGGTGTATAACATTTTTCCAAAGGATCTTCTTACTGAGCGGACATCTATCATGGGCAAAGTCTAAGTTTTGGTGGGGTAAAGTGCTGAACATTTTGGGGCCAATGGTCATACTCAGGATTTTTCAATGGAGGGGGGGGGGATATTTACACTTAATAAAAGTCATTTTATACGTTTAGGTGAGGTATTTAAAAATATTTGTACAACTTCAATTTCTTAACTTTTCTAGTAGAAAAAATGCTCTAATCATAAACTTTGATGGAGGTTTTTGGAACGTTGAAATTGAAATTTCTCAGTATTTTTTAAAATATTTGGGAAATGGAAAATAGTTTGGTAACCTTGGTTAGAATATCTTTTATCTAAATATATTAATGATTATTTTTTATGACATTTATAATCATGTGTTAAATTTGTATAGATAACTAAAGCTTGAAAATGCAATACAAAATCTTTCAAACAAGTAGTTCATACTTTTAACCACAAAATTACTGATCATGTTTGAAAAATTGGCATGCAATCAAATGTTTTTGCAAAAATTAATTTATTGTGGTAAGACGTAAATTAATTTATGTCTTGCTTACTAAATTGACGATAGTTGAAACTTGATCTACTATCTACCTATTTATGCTTATTATATTATTTATTAATTAAAATCACTGAATATGATTACTGATATATATATTATCTCAGGAAACACCAATTGTCATTTGCCAGGCCACTGAACATCATTCAGTGAACATCTAGAAACTAAATACTAACTAGTTATCATAATTTTTAAAGCCGTGCTAGCATTATACCAGTTTAATTTATGATTTCCATATCACAAAACCATTATTAAAATTGATTAACAAATATTATATTATAACAATATAAAAATTAATTAACGTTTTTATAAGGTTTTCAATATTTATTATTATTATTTATAAATCATTGTAAATAGAAAATGTATAAAATCATTAATCTTTTTTAAAATATTTTTGTTTTAGAATTCCCAATTCCTATAAACCAATAATTAAATACTTATACTATTATTACTTTTTACTTCATACAGTGAATTTAGGTTAGGTACCTATGATAGTATGATATCCTGTGGACCTCTTTCCATTAAATTTGTTGCATTTTGAATTTTATACATTATCTTATACTTACTTTGGAACGATAGGGGTACACCTCTGAACATATTTAAGATTCTGAGCGGAAGCAATGAATGTATTGATTTTACGTGTAATTTTTTTTGTTGCCCGACATCTAAGTTTTGGGACTGAAAATACTTTGATTTTCTACTTCAACATCTTTTCTGGTAGGAAAGTGAATATATTTGGTACTTTGGGGGGAGTTAAAAGTAAAAATTCCTAGTAGTTTTCAAAAGCACCTGAAAAACCAAAAAAAATAAGGGAAATGGGAAATTTCACTCAAAATCGATTTTACTTTTTTGTTAAAAAGTGTAATTAAAAAAAAAGAAACAAGTTAGGAAAGCTCACTCTGGAAGCATACTAAATTCCCAGTTTCTAATCATATATTAATTTAATAATACAACACAATAAATTATAATTCCATTTATGTGTAGTAGGTAACTAGACATTTATAACAATAAAATACCTATTATATCAACAATCGTAACTAAGTATCTCCTGGTAATATAACGTTCGGGCAGACACAACGGGGATATTGAATATATCATATAAGCCATAAGGTGTTCTAACTTCTAAACATATGTAAAGAAACCTAAAATATCATCATTGGTGCAACTAGGGAGGTGCAAAAGGTTCTTTAGCAGTATTGAGAAGGAGCAGATTCCTGGAACGAGTTCTTTTTTATATGAACTTTTTTCTTGGAACTTCCTTAGAACTAAAGGAATAAGAACAATTATTTTTTTGATGAACGTGAACGAAAATCACAGTTCCTTTAAATTTTAAAATATTATTCTTTGTTTCTAAGGGTTTATACATATAAGAAGTAATTTATTTACGTTTAATTTATTAATTGTTGTTAGTTCATGTTTAACATTTTGAATAAAAATATTATTCTAAAGCAGCAATTTTTTTAATAACTTGGTTAAAAATGAACAGAAATTGTAACGAGTTATTTTTTAGATGAACTAGATTTGGAGAGTTTCTTTTGTTTAAGAAGGAACTATGACCTAGAACGAGTTCATATATTAAGAAATTAACGGGGAACGGAACGAGGACTTTTCTAAAGGAACTTTCCTAAATCCTAACACTGGTCTTTACATGATATTTCAGATACTCCGTGATATGACTGCATAGGAGGCACTAAATCCTTCAAAATAGGTATAATAGGCATTCGTAATAATTGATTCGTACAAATACAGCTGTTCGTATATGGTACAGGGCTCACAGCACGGCTGAGTTGCTCGGTGAAGTATAACTATAACATGACAAACAGTACGTTTGAACTACGGTTGTCTACTCGAGTAGATGATGGTTTGGACCCTGTTTTTGTTTTCATCAACAAGGCTTTAATAATTTTGGAAAATGTTCGTCGATTTTTAGTTTTTATAGGTACACCGTACACCTATTTTGTCGATGCTTGTAAAATGTTTTTTTCATTAATTTAACTCTACTTGATTTTTAAACTTTGACCAGCTTAAGAGAGACTTTTAATAATATTTCAATAATGAAACCATTATTATAATTAATTTTTTGGTTTTGATATCAGAGTAGACTGCAGTCTCCAGCATATTATACTAAAAAGATAGGTATATACTTATAATACTTACTAAGTACTTCCTGTATAATTTCAAAAGAATTTTATTTTGCTCAAAAGAAAAAGGACCAAGGATTATATTATATTTTAAGAGAAATAGAAATTGTATAACAGCCTCGATACTGTGTCTTATAAGGGAGTACTATTTTTTTTAAATATCGAAAATAAATATTAAATAGCTAAATTATTTTTATTCATAAAAACAGCATATTAGTTAAAAATTAATTTCAATACCTATTATAAGAACTTATTAGTTTGTTGTTTCACTTGCTCGTATTATTTTTAATATTATATTATATTATTTATATTGGCTTAATGTAGATTGAGAGCATAAAATTATCAATTGGCCTATTTATTTTTTGACATATTTTACACAGGCTGTTGACCTGATGCAACATCGTTTTCTGTATTATTTTAGGAATATTTTGATCCCATCCTCCAGGAAAATATTTAATACTGAAATACCAAAAAAATCAAAATTGAATTATTTAAAATCAATTATATAACAAGTAGGAAGATACCTACATAGCTAAGGAAAATACCTACATTAAAACTGAAAAATAATTTGCAACAAGAATATTTCAAAGATTGTTATAAGAACACAATATATTCTCAAATATACTTATAATCTTCATAAAAATTATTCCATTATGGCATAAATTGCCTAAATTATGTATCATTAATGATTATAAAATGCTGTTTTTGTTTTGGACTGTTATGGTAAACTTGGTATATTTATGACAAACTGAGTAATGTGAGTTTTTCGTTGAGCTCTAATTGGGTCTTGGTCAACTGAGATAAAGTAATAACCATCAACAAATCCTAAAACAAAATAAATATACATATATATATATATAATTATTAGTTCTATTAAAATATAATTAAACAAAGAATATAAATGATTACCTTAACATTGGAATTGAACATTTCTTCAAATCGATCAGGTGTCACATGAGGTACACTGTGCATCAGGTCAAGCAATATACGACCAATGTGACTGTTGTCAGCTGCATTACAATCACTCGATGCCAACACTTTATCAATGTAAGATAAAACTACCTCCAATAGATCTGAGATTTTCGATGATGCCTCTTCAATTTGTACCAGCTCAGCGATTGGTTCTTGACATTTCTGTCCAACAGCTACAGTTTTCTGGCACAAGCTTACTAAAAGAGAACAATACTACTGTAACTCGAATAAATATTACAGCAAAAATTATGGAAAGGAAATGTAATGCCGGTAGTTTTATACAATAAAAATATAATTCTTTATTATTATTTTTGAGTTTACTCGGGCAATAATATTTTTATTTTAATACTTGAGAAATAGGTACTGTCTCACTTATTTAAATTAGTATTTATAAATATTATAATACCACTACCATATTATAGATTTTGATAATACCATTGCTATGGGTACTACAGATATTTTTAATCATACAGGTAATAAGAACAAAATGAGAAATGTGTATAAATAATGACATACGTCCAACTGTTTCGGGTTGATAGCATGTAACTTCAATTGGTACATTAATAAACATATTCCCAGTTTTACCTCCAGGAACACCAATTTGAGTACTGTAATAAAATATAATAAATTAAATTGAGGCACCCATTTAAATGTTCACACGAATTACCAACAGCTAAATACAGTTTCAAAAATTGAAATATTAACATATCACTCACACTCATTAGCGTAAATTCAGTTGTAAATAATTAATATATTTTTTTATCTAAACTAAAATCAATAACTTACCTAACGTATGCTTTCAAACCCATATTATCGTTTTTCAATGTTGTATCCAAAGTGATGTGTACTGGATTGTTACATTCCATCAAGTAATACTCGTGTATAGTTGATGAATGTGTAGTTACCTCATTACCTGTAGCCCACCATCCAACAATTTGTTCAGATCTATTGACCTTTTGATTCATTTTGAACATATCTGCTGCATAAACAATATCAGCTTCAACCTTAAAATGTATAAAGCGTTGCAAATTAAACAATCAAAGAAGAGTTTATAAGAATGTACTAACAGTGTCTTCATATTCTTTATGAGGGACACCAAAAGAATTGGTCACTTCAACTACACCTTTATCGACCGTACCTGGAATATAAGAAATTATTTAAGACAGGCCAAAATGTTTTGTATTTAGTTTAGTTTATGCACTTACCCATCAATGTACCAATTACTCGATGAGCATCGACATTTCTACGTTCATACGCATCCACGATTTGAAACAACACAACAGGGTGTACTTTCACTTTCAAATTTAACGCCATTACAGTATACGCAGTGGCTATTTTCACGTTAAACGAGGAAGTTCTTTCAGGAAGGCGAAGCGAAAAGAAAAATAAGACAACACGCCAATCACTATACTAACGAAACCCGACAGTGTACCGAAGTAACTTCGGTGAAGTTTTTATTTACATTTTATTTTATGGTTATGTTAGTCGATCACATGTTACCTCGTACTTGGTTAAATATCAAATTGACGTGGTAACTGACAACACTACATTGATAACAAAATAATTGATAATAATCAAAAGGAATTTAATTAATAATTTTTTATATATTATTAAAAATGTTCATTAAATTGTAAAATCTTATTGAAGTTTTATTAATTTGGTATCTAACAAAATATGTTTATTTAAGTTTTAAAATGTATTTTTGGCTTCAAACATTTGGATTTAACTAAAAGTGAGTGTTCTACTTAGTACATAGAGGTACCCACTAAATTCTAGATTCAATTTATATTTAAATAAAAATATTATCTTGTCAAAATAATTATGGCATTGATGTTGAATTAAAAATAATCATTAATATCATACCCATACTTTTCATAACAAATCCATTCAGTAAATAAAAATTGAAGGTAGGTTATATATATACATTTTATTTTCATAATCCATTGACTAAAATGCCAACATTTTTCTTTCTCATATATTATGAAAAATATATCTAAATGTCTTGAGTGATGATTGAACCATTTTTTAAATAAGTAAACAATATTAAATTTCTGATGGTCTCCAGATACCAGTTAAAGATTAAAATATTTTTGTACCATTTTCATCTTATATTAATTAGGCTTTTAAGTGTGAAATAACATGTAGGTATACCTTAATTTAGAAATTAATAAAAATCTTTTTAACTTTATAGTAGGCTAATAGGCTTTATTGGTTAAGACTCAACACTGTTAGTCCTTAATCACCATAAAAATGATCTTTTTTATATAATTTTTATAATTAATTGTATTTTTTATTTTGTTTTAGGTGTTATATAAGGAATCCTGTTTTACAAGATAAAATGTATCTATAGTTGTATCAAGTTTGCAAGATCATAATAGGTCAAAAGACTTAGTAATGTTATCAATATTTTTTGAATAAAATCTTACACAAAAAACCGCTAACAAATCAATAATAAAACTAAAATTATGACGTCATCAATTCGGGATAAACAAATTGCTGCGTTGAAGCAAATGCTCAACTTAAATAGTCCCGAATATAAAGATAATGGTTCAGAACCAGTATGGAAAGTACTTATATATGATCGCCGTGGCCAAGATATCCTATCACCATTAATTCCAATAAAAGAACTACGTGAATGTGGTGTAACATTGCACCTAAGCATTCATTCTGAACGAGATCCCATTCCTGATGTAGCAGCTATTTATTTTTGTATGCCGGATCAAGATAATCTTGACAGAATAGCTCAAGACTTTCAGAATAATGTTTATGAAAAATATTATTTAAACTTTATCTCTGCTATTTGCCGTCAAAAACTAGAGGATTTAGCTAGTTCAGCATTACAAACTGAAAATGTAAGCCATGTTCATAAAATTTATGATCAATATTTAAATTTTATTTCTTTGGAAGATGAATTGTTTATATTAAGCAATCAAAATGCTCAATCAGTATCATATTATGCATTGAACCGTGCAGATGCGAAAGATACTGATGTAGAAGTAATGATGGATGATACTGTTGATGGTTTATATTCAGTTTTTGTAACTCTTGGAACATTACCTATTATTCGCAGTGCTCGTGGTAATGCTGCAGAAATGGTAGCGGAAAAATTAGACAAAAAATTAAGGGAAAATTTAAGAGATACTAGAAATAGTTTATTCTCATCAGAGAACTCTGGAATTTACAATTTTCAACGACCTCTCTTGGTTGTACTGGACCGGAATATTGATATGGCAACACCTCTACATCACACATGGACTTATCAAGCGTTAGTACATGATGTTTTAAAACTAAATTTAAATAGGGTTACAGTAGCTCAAGAGCAAAAGAAACCAAAAACTTTTGATCTAGATCCAAAAGATTCCTTTTGGACGACTCACAAAGGAAGCCCATTTCCTACAGTAGCAGAATCAATTCAATCTGAACTGGAGCATTTAAAGAATTCTGAAGAAGAAGTAAAACAGTTGAAAGAATCTATGGGTTTAGACGGTGAAAGTGATGTGGCTTTAGCCATGATGAGTGATAACACTGCCAAACTGACATCTGCTGTTAATTCTTTACCACAATTATTAGAAAAGAAAAGATTAATAGACATGCATACAGATTTAGCTACTAGCATTTTATCTGTGATTAAATCGCGACGTTTAGATTTGTTGTTTGAATTTGAGGAAAAGGTAATGAGCCAAGCATCTTTAGATAAGCAAATATTAGATATTATAAATGATACAGAAGCTGGAACTGCTGAAGATAAAATGAGACTTTTTATAATTTATTACATCTATACACATTCCATAACAGATTCAGACACAGATATGTATTCATCAGCTTTAGAGAAACAAGGTTGTGATCTCAGCCCACTTAAATACATTAAAAGATGGAAAATGTTTTCTAATATCACAGCAACATCAAATCAGTATGGAGGTGGTACTAAATCTGTTAATATGTTTGAAAAATTACTTTCTCACACTTCCTCATTTGTTATGGAAGGAGTAAAAAATTTAGTAGTTAAAAGACACACATTTCCTGTGACTAGAATTGTTGATGAGTTATTGGAAAATAAACAGTCATCTGGCACATCTGATGAATTTCGTTATTTTGATCCAAAACAGCTACGTAGTTCTGATGGATTTAAGTCCAAAAATAATTTTAGTGAGGTTATAGTGTTTATAGTTGGCGGAGGCAATTACATTGAATATCAAAATTTATTGGAGTATGTAAGAAATAAAACGGTGTCACCTGGTATACCACAATTGAGAATTGTCTATGGGTCAACTGTAGTGAACAATGCACCGGAATTCTTAGAACAGCTGTCATTATTGGGTCAGGAATTGCACTAATTTTATTTATAGTATATTGTGTAATTATTATATTTTTTTTATATTAAATTCATATTTATATATTTATGTAAAATGTATTAATGTTCATTTACATTATAAGTGTTATTGTCATTTATCAAAAAACAAATTAAAAGTATTGTAATAGATAAAAATATTATTTTAACATGATTTTGAATATTTTAAACCACAGAATACATAAATCAAACATTTATGTACAAACAGCACAGGGTCCGCGATCCACTGCAGGTAGATTACCTAACTGATAATATACTGCTACAAATCAGAATTTTTATTCCGGGCAACGAAAAAGTTAAAAATAATTTTGAACACCATACGCCGAATACTAAATAACGAATTGAACAAAGTTTGAGTCATGTGGAGTTGGTACATTTAACGAGCAACGGAGTGCACGGGATCAGCTAGTTTTAAATATATTACTAACTAGCAAGTATAATTTATTATATATAATAAATAAGATAAAATGAGACTGGTACCTGTATAAAATCTAAATCCACACATTTCATTATAATTATAAGAGTACCAAGTTGGGCAGTGGCGTACCCAGGATTTTAGAACTGTGGATCTGCCTTACTTACGAGAGGCCACTGTGTAGAAACTTCAACCAACTACCTATATAGTTAGGTATTACAAAGTCACTCCGGGCTCGCGATTTACCTTATTAGTTATTTACATCACATTTTGATACCAACGTTCAATACAACTATATCACATATTTTTAAGTAAATTGTAAAATTAATAGCTATATTTAATTTATTTTTATTGTTATTTGTTGCATTAAAATTTATATTCAATTAAAAAATTTACCTGACATATTTAAATCATTAGAAGAAATTATACAAATTTATTATTTTATTTGTATACGTATATTTGCAGTATATTTATTTTATTTTAGTTTTCAATGACTGATTTCATTTTCACAAGAGATATAGAATAGGTGGTTCTAAATTCTAATACAATAGAAAAGTCAACAATAATACATTAATAAAATTTATATTTAATAATACCTACATGAAAATAATAGTAAAGAACTAAAACATGACAATCATTTTCTGCGCTTTTTCATTAGTGCGAATTATGTACTTATTACGTTAACAAAATCAATGGTTTGAGCTATGTTGCTTTCTATGCTCAATATGGCCAAATTTGATAGCCGGTCTTCAGTCATAGTTGAGCTAAGGCATGTTTTGAGAAGTTTTAGAACGCTAAAACTTCTTTCTGCAGTTGCACTGCAGACTGGTAGTGTATAAAAAATTGTATACAAAGTATATAAATTTGGATATGAAGAAACCATGTCTCATGATATCATGAATTTTCAATACATCATTTAATTTTAAAGTTCCAGTTACTCCAGTTTCAATAGTTTTGCCATTTGTTGGTAAACTAGATGTAATGAACGGTATTCCACTTCTATATCAATTTCATCTATGTCAACTTCATAAAATCTTATATAATATCTATATCCAACATATTTTTATACTTGTGTTTATCGAATTTTAGGTACGTACATTATAAGTTGATAAGCTTAAACACGATTTCGTACGCGTTATTTTACTTCAATACTCAGTCTTCACAGCTGTATATTATACGATATACCCCTATATCATAATAGCAGATCTTCGATATTTTGAAGGGGGGGGGGGGCACATATAAATTGTATAATTTTAATTTTAATTAATAATACATACATACTATCAATAATGATTATAATAAGTAATAATTAATAGTTGGTAGTATTATCCTTATCAACTGAATGTTTCATTTATATGATACTCGTAGTTACATAACAACTTGTCGACAGAAAATTGACAAGGGGCACGTGCCTCTCCTCTAAATTCACCACTGTACATAGTTTTTTCAAATAAAAAAATGTTTTTATAGTTTGCCATTTCGAGGGGCCACATTTAACTGGGAAAACAACTGTGGGTCAGCTGACCTCCCAATCCCCCCCCTGGGTCCGCCCCTGAAGTTGGGGAATTAAAATAAAATTAATATAATATACCTTTTGTGTACCGTAGTTTGGGGTGACTTTGATAATGCGAGGTGAGATTGATTTTTATCGAAATTATTGATTTAGTCGTATAGGGTGGTCGTATATACTAGGTATATAAGCTTAAAGTATAATATATTAGAATAGTTAATACATTTAAATATATTCTTACATTAATATCAGCTGAACCAAATAAAAAAGGTATGCCTTAATAGAAGTTTAGACGTAGAGTAATGATTTTTCATTTGCAATATGGGTACTTCTTCAAAATCTAATCTAAATGTATTTTATATTATGATTGAACTATTAAACTAATGAAAATTAAAAGTATTGGTTTTACAATAATGTGGCAGATATACTTACAGGCATAAATACAATGGCGTAGCCAGAATTATGAAATGGGGGGGGGGGGGGTGTTCAAGTATAGAGTAAAACCAAGTTTTTACAGTTTTCGTATATAAATAAATTTAGGGTTCGGGACTTGACTTGTTGCACTAAAAGTGATCGAAATATGCAGTCAAAATTTTCAAAATATGCTTAATATATGCAGCTACATTTTTATATTATTTTTGAAAAATTCATAAAACATATTACAATTTTTGTAATAAAAAACTAAAAAATAAGAAGGTAAATAAACATGATAAAAATAATTTAAGCACGAGTATACAAATTGTAATATAGGTTATAGGTACCTATATTGATTAATATGATGCACGGATGACACTAGCTATTGCATGTTTTGGACATTTTTAAACTATTGTGAAATAAAACTTGATTTTTAAAAATACTGCCATAAATACTATAGGTTACTAAATAAGTTATAAGTTATAACGAATAACGAATAACGTGATATGTGAACACAGTGATAAACAAACACATATCTACTGATTTTCATTTCTTCGTATAATCTAGAACCTAGATGTCAATTTCATGTTTATATAGTTTTAATACAGTCTTGTCACAAAGAGACTTATAAAATCTTACGTACCATATGCGAAAATTCAAAATAGGGCCAACCGTAGCCAAGCTCCACCAACAACTTTAACAGCCCTCCCAAACATATACTAAAATTTTTTAAGCTTATTCAATTTTATAATAGTATGATAAAAGGCTTCGGTTTCCCCAAATCTCAAAATTAGAGCCTATTGTACCTAACCAAGCATAATATTTTTAAAGATATTTTTCAATGTTATCCAAATATGATTTTTCCCGATAATTGTACCTACATTTAATGTACCTATATTCGATATTTAATTTTATCGAATATAAATCGATATAAAATCGATGTAATTTATTTACGATTTCGAAAGTTTTAGTTAATAATCAAACATACTATTAAAGATCACAGAAATTAATACATTTAACAATGTACCTAAATCATCAATGTTATACCTACACTTATAGGTACCTAGGGTTGCTATACAATTATTTTTCAATTTATTTATATTATAATTTATAATATATTATAGATACCTACTTACCTACTATTAGCCTACTGCCTATTATAGTAGGTACTATACTTATTAGTTATTATAGACTGATTTTGTAATTAATGTTTAAAAAAGGTGTACAAGTGGTTGTCCCTTTGCTGTACAGTAGGTTACAGGTCACTGTAATACATGGTGTTAAATTTGAATTCAATGATATAATATTATCATTGTAAAAGAAAAACGATTCTGAGCGAAGTGACCGGTCGGTTAGCTTATGATATTACTATGTATATTTAATGATGTACCTAATTGTGAATAAAGTAATTTATTTATTATAAATTTATAACCTATTTAAGTAGAACCTTGATTTTAATTTTAAATCCTTAGCTATAAAAGTTGAAATTTTATAAATTTATACCTAACTACAAAGTAGTTATTAAATTTTAAATTTTGATACATTTTGTCAAAATTCGAACTTTAAATCCTAATTAAAAAAAATTGTGACTGGATTTTTAATATTTTTCATATGTCATTATAACAATATATTAAGAGCGTTGTATTACATTTACAAGCTTTTTTATCCAATAAATAAAATTTTATTGACATTCATAAGAAAAAAAACTAAAATAATTGGAAACTGAAATTGTCCGTAAACAGTTCAAAATAAATCCAAATATTTATTATATTATCGTGTTTAGAACATGCTAATATAAACTAGGTACCAGTGAAAATTGCATGTATCTACGGTCAGATTTTGTCGAAAATATTTAATGTAACGAGTAACGTAATTTCATCACTTCTTAAAAGTCTATAATAACAATACTAAATAGTATTGATGTACCTATTATTGTACCTATTGTATAACATTTGCAAGCAATTTTACTTTTTAGAGTAATTATATTTTACTTTTTCCTTACTAGGTACAGGGCCGGATTGGTATGTATCGGCCCATCAAGATTTTCACTTCTATAAGAGGCCCATTTACATATTTAGTGGCCCAAAATTACGTCTATAATTATTACTTGCTTATAGGTGGCCAATCGTATTTTAAACATGAATTTATTTTCACCCACACTCACACGACCGGCCCAAACTTCAAGCGGCCCACCGAAATTTTCTCGGTAGCTCGCCTAACCAATCAGGCCCTGCATAGGCGTGCGCACGGGTAGGGCTGATTGGGCTTTAGCCCTACTTGAGATTTTTCTATACGTGGGTGGGTTGGTACCTTATGAAGACATGACGAAACGTAGATATAGCCCTTTTATAGTTTCGTTAACGTTTGTGTTTACCCGAGAGACTATACGACTGGGCGATTTATTTAAAATTGAACACTCATTATTTCAAAAAGTGTAATTGTTTTTGAAAATATTTTTACATATTTTCGAGTCGCTTACAAAACAACTTTGTTATTAAAAAATTATCCTTCTAATTTTTTTATTTTATTTTTGACGACAAAGTTTAAATTTCATATTCCAAAGTAGAATATTTTTCTAAGTATTTCGATACATAAAAATCGAATTTAGTGTGAGACGTGAGTAGTCTATGCGTTATAAGTATTTAAA